CAGCAGAAAATAAATGTTTTAAATTTTCTTACCTTAAAAATATTTTTCATGATGCTATACAAAGAATAACACCGAATAAGTGGGATAATGTATCAGCAAGTAAAAGAAAAGGTCGAACCTAAAATGTGGGAATTAGACCGCATCATTGATACTCACGTTTCCCCTTCAGTCATAAATCTTGATGACATGGAGCACCAGGGCCTCAGATCTAGAATGATTTTCATTTTGAAATATATTTATTTCCGGCTTTAGAGCTAAAAGGTCTGTGCAATAAATTTTTGTATAATATACTAAGTGACATATAAATCCGAACACCCAGTTTAAATGGTTTTATTTTAATAAAATTTTGTATAAGTACTTAATGAAGCAGAATAAGTAAATGATAAAAATTTCAAAATGATTGCACTGCTTTAAAGCCCTTTGACCTTTAATAATGTGTGGATGCACCCTGATGTGCTACGCATTCTCCAACGCGCCTAGGCATGCTTCTGATCAGGTGGTCAATGTCCTCCTGTGCTCTCTCATTCCAGGCAACCACCAACTCCTCTCGAAGTGCTTCTAGAGTCTGAGGAGGACGTTGCAAATTGAGCAATCTCCTACCCATCATATCCCACACGTGCTCAATTGGGGAGTCGGGAGATCTTGATGGCCATGGTAACAATGTGACATCATTATGTTGAAAGAAGTCTATTGTGACTCTTGCAACATGTGGTCGGGCATTATCTTGTTGGAAAGTTGGATCTGCCAGGGTGTCAAGATAGAGTAAAAGATGGGGTTCTAGAACTTCGTGGATATAACGCTGCGCGTTCATATTACCTCTGATGAAGATTAAAGGTGACATGGAACCATAAGCTATAGCACCCCAAACCATAACTCCAACAGTGTGATGAACATGTCTTTCAACAAAAAACTGTGGATTCCTCCTTTCACCACGTCGCCTTCTAACCCTGGCACGACCATCGTGCATGCCTAAACAAAATCGAGACTCGTCACTAAAGACAATACTGTTCCATTCCTGATCCCAGAGTGACCGTTGTCTGCACCACTCAAGGCGATTACGTCGGTGTTCTCGAGTTAAAGGGAGGACCCAGTGTGGCCGGTATGAAAACAAGCCAAAACTTCTCATTCGTCGGTAAACACTTCGCATGCCAATAGGTCTTCCGTGTTCTGCAAACCATTCATTTGCAATGGACCTGGTAGTGGAGAAACGGTCCCTTAAGGCCAATAATCTTAGGCGGCGATCTTCACGGTCTGTTGTTCTACGGTGGCGTCCAGTGTCCCTTGCTCTTTTGCGTACGGCCTTCTCGAAGCCATGCCTGACAACACCTAACCACAGTGTCTACACTTCTTTGCACTCTAACTGCAATTGCCCGAAAATGAAGTCCAGCTTCCCGAAGTCCCACTATACGGCCCCTATCAAACTCACTAAGTTGACGAAATCGTACAGGTCTCCGTACTCTAGGCATCGCAACCGATGTAAAGGATGTCAAGAACCAAAATCCGCCAACGTTGATTCTTTACTGCGGCTGAAATATTCATTTTTAGAGCGTTAGTGAATTAAAAAAAAAGCAGTATAAAAACTGGAATGTCCAACTGATAAGGCTGAAATTTTTTTTACTTGTTACTTACAGTAAGATAATTACATTCACCAACTTTTATTAAAATAAAACCATTTAAACTGGGTGTTCGGATTTATATGCCACTTAGTATATTATTATGTACTCAAATCCTTTTTCTTTCAACTCCACCTAACTATTCATTTTTTAGTCTAATATTAAAATTAACTGTTTGCACACTGACGTCCCTGTTCGAGCGGTGGTTAGGTATACTTGTATGCATATGCAATTATCGTTTTCATGTGTCAAGACATTTTTTAAAAGCCTGCTTTATAAATGCACCTTACGAAACATTCCGAGTATAATTTCTTGATAAAACACTTCTACTAAAAACAACAATAGACAGTTGTTTTCTTTTTGGTCATGACAGTTAAATTAAAAAAATACAATAATTCCAAGCTTTACGTTTAGACCCTATACATGAGTGCAATAATTTTGCATACTTTTTGATCATTTATGCTTAGTACGGCCCTGTTACTTATTTTTTATTAAAATAAAACCATTTAAGCTGGGTGTTCGGATTTATATGTCACTTAGTATATATTGTACAATTACATGAGATGAATTCGTTTCAGCAACTGGACGGCTACGTACCAGGACAAGATTACCCCATTTACAATGAAATTCCACAGGGACTATCTTTTAGTTGTGACCAGAGGCTTCCAGGGTATTACAGCGATCCAGAAGCACAGTGCCAGGTTAGCCCAACATTCTAGATTTCAGTGTTAGAAATCCACTAGGGCAGGGGAGCCAGGTTCGGCTATGTATCGCCAAATTAATTATTTTTAATACGCCTTGTCGGCGGTTTTTTTTGACTTAACGATCTGATTTTTTTGCGATTTCTACCGATGAATCAAATATTAGCAATGTACTTAAGATTCGAGAACCTAATGACTATCACCAAGAAGTCGGATACTTAACACAGGACGTTGCCGCCCCTTTAATCAGGTAACCAATATACAGGGTGTCCGCAAAGTTGGGGTTTTCCTTTTCAGAAACAACTACCCTTGAAATAACAAAGGTAATGTGTAGTGAAACGAGGGCGACCAAGTAAAAAAAAATAAAGGAAAAAGTACTCACTGTACAGTTGACGAGAAGGGCTAAGTACGTCTCTGCCCGAAATCATACCGCTCCAACAGAAAATGAAATCAGCCGATGCGCTACCGAGCAGACGCAGAAACCACATTGATTGTCTTACACTTAATGGCACATCTTCTAACAAGGAAGGCAAAATGTTGCGTAAAAAGTCTAGGTATTGCATCCCGTCCAATCGATTTGGGAGAATAAATGGTCCAATGAGCATACCGTTCACCGTGCCAGCCCAAACATTCACCGAAAATGTTTGTTGAAAATGTGCCCGACGGACAGCGTGCGGATTTGCTACTGAACATGAGTGTTGTGAAAGTTATTCACCCCATTACGCGTGAACGTAGATTCGTCTGTCACCAATATGCACTTCAAAGTCCGGATTATTGTCATGTTGATGCAACAACCACTCACAAAACCGCACTCTTGCTGGAAAATCGTCAGGTTGAAGGGCTTGTACACGTTGGACGTGAAACGGATACAGCCCCTCTTCAAGCAGCGTTTGCCACACTTTAGTTTTTGATACTTGCACTTCTCTAGCCACGTCTCTAATGCTTGTTAAGGGATTCTCGTCTACGCGATTACCTCTACACGCGTGACCGTAACCGTCGCTTGAAGGTTGCATACTGTCCTGACACACTGACTCCGACCCAGTTCTGTCGTCGGGTTGAGTCAGTGACCTTGTACCAGTTGGTGATGTCGCGGCTACAGGACGATATTCAGATATTTTTGATGTTGCAAAGCCCTTTATCTCGGTTCCCTTAAGACATTGATGTATATGGTACTAAGAAAAATTGCTTATGTTTTCAAGATCTACACGTCGTGTAAAGGAAAACCCCAACTTTGCGGACACCCTGTATTTGAAAAACAGAAATATTCACCAGTTTTTCAATAAGGGCATTGGCATAGTTGACTGCGTACATTTATTTGAAAAGGACGATGGTCTTTGATAAACTTAAGCAATAAGGTCTGAATCAAAAGTAAGGTGTGGTGATCTTGGTAATGAATAATATACAGGGTGTGTAAAATAAGGATCCTATGCATGGGGACCTCAATATCTGAGGGAGATACTGCTTAGGTTAAATTAGGAAAAAGATGCTTTCTTTGGAGTTACATGGCGTTACATGGCGTTACATGTCGTTGAGAAACTTGTAAAAATTTCAAGGTTTACTGAGGTATTTGGGGAGAACTAAAATTTTTCTCTGACTTTTTTTAATGAAATATAAAAAACTAATGGAACGTTTTCATTTGCACTACAACCAAGAAAATAAATGTAGCATGTGATGATATTAGGTACAGAAAAATTTGCTGAAGTTATTTCTTTGACTTTCTAAGCACGTCGACAAAATATCTTTTCCTTAATTCTGAGAATCATACAGGGTGCGGCAGAGAGGACGGACGTTTTTGGGATGGGTAGTACTCTCCGCCTCCGTTACGAGAGATGTGGGGAGTGAGATCCTAGCATTATTTTACCAGTTGTCGTTATGGAGCCTTGGACAGTGGAGCACCGCGTTTTCGCCTATGATTGTTTCGTCCGAAATAATGAATCAGTCATCGTCGTACAGCGTGAGTTTCGTCGCAACTTCAACATTCATCGGAATAGAGCTGTTCCCTATCGAAACACCATCCTTCGTTGGGTTGAATCACTTCGCAGGCGTGGTGAACTGATCAACAGAAGACTAAGAGGAGCGCCGCAAACAGTTCGAACTCCTGAAAATGTTGAACGCGTTCGACAGATCTTTCTTCGCGGTCCGACTCGATCTGCCCGGAAACATGCTGCTGCACTTCGCCTTAGTGATCGTTCGGTAAGGCGAATTTTGCATATGGATTGTGCAACAGTTACAGCCCTGAGACTATGCACAACGAATGAACTTCGCACGTGAGATGGAAGCACTGATCGATCAAAATGAGAACCTCATTTTGTTTATGAGTGACGAAGCCCACTTTCTCAAGCCACAAGCCCTGCACTCTGGACGAATTGAAGGGCGAAATTCGCGTGGAAGTCGCCCAAGTTGAGAGAGCGATGTTGGAGAGAGTCTACGCGAACTTCCAAGAACGCCTCCAGCACTGCATCAACGATTTCGGCCACCACATGCCTGATGTGATTTTCCACACTTGACTGTCTCAAATGCTATTTCCTTGTGAACGTGATTCCATCAATAAATTTGTTTTCGAGTAAAAATTAACTACTTTATGATTTTTTTAAAACCGTCCATCCTCTGTGCCGCACCCTGTATTTTCTTTAAAGAATGGAATCCTAGACAATTTTTTACCTTCATCTTTTCATACAATATTCTTTCAGGTATGGCACTGGTGTCTCCCTAACGGCCAGAAATTCAGCTTTCTATGCCCGAACGGAACCGTCTTCAACCAGTTCGCACGGGTATGCGACTGGTGGTTCAACGTAGACTGCGCGGCCACTCCGAACCTCTACAATATCAACGAAGATCTGTACGTGGTGCCACCACCCAGCAATACCAATAGAAGACGGAGAAGAATCAATCATCGTCACCACTAAATTATATTAATTTAAAATACTTAAATAAAGCTTTTTATTATTTATTCATTTTATTCGTATGTTTCTCAACACATGCAAGATCCAATTACAAAGAAACACTATATAAGAGATGAAAAACAAATAGACACATATACAAGAAATATTATCATGGATTGATGATACTAAGAAAATAATAATAATAATACAGTGGACCCCCGATAATCCGGCCCCTGTCTAATCCGGCGCCCCCTGTAATCCGACATGTCTTTTAATATGTATTACATACATACGTATTTGACAATCTTCGCTAATGTAGATCACGCAGGTTTGAACAGGTTACAACTTGTACGCGCCACCGCTATCGTGCTCGACGCGTAAGCATTGTTTTACTTATTTCATATTTGACTACGGTTGATAGCGGTACGGCCTAGTACAAAACATTGACAATTAAAGAAAAGTATGATATTTTAGACCGCTTAAATCGCAGTGAAACTTTCAGTAGTTCAGCAAGTGAATACGGCGTAGGCCGATCTACAATTTATGACATTAAAAGAAACCACGAGAAGATCAAGAAGTTCGTGTCAAGTACTGACTGCGGGCCAGGCAAGAGACAGACACTCAAGAAAGCTGAACATCCAGAAGTGGAAGAAGGTTTGTACATGTGGTTTCTTCAGGAAAGAAATAGGCATGCACCAATTTCAGGACCCATGTTGGCCATGAAAGCTAAGTTTTTTTATAAGAAAATAACTAAAGAAGATGATTTTGTGGCCAGCAAAGGATGGCTATAACGTTTTAAAAGTCGTCATGGCATACGTTTAATGACTATTACAGGAGAGAAACTTTTTAATGATGCCACCTGCATAGAGCGCTTTAAATTAAGATTTTTGCAAAAGGTGAACGATTTAAATCTTGTCCCGTCACAGGTGTACAATGCAGACGAATCAGGGCTATTTTGGCGTGTGATGCCTAACAAAACTTTTGTTTCTTGTAATGAAAAATCCGTACCTGGACGAAAAGTAAGCAAAGAGCGTGTAACCATACTACCATGTGCTAACGCTGCGGGCACACACGCGCTTAAGATGATGGTCATTGGGAATCAAATAAACCACGGGCATTCAAAAACATTGATTTACCTGTACACTATTACGGACAAAAAAGTGCATGGATGACAAAAGACCTTTTCAAAAAGTGGTTAGATGAATGCTTCGTACCTGAAGTTAGAAAATGGTTAAAAGATCATAATTTTCCTCAGAAAGCATTGTTGCTTCTTGATAAGGCTCCCGGTCATCCGTCTGAAGAAGAACTAACAACTGAGGATAAATGCATCACTGCGATGTTTCTTACGCCAAATTGCACTGCACTGATTCAACCAATGGACCAGAATATCATTCAATTTGTCAAGCAAGACTATAAGAAAAACCTACTTCTGAGAGCCGTATCAAAAGACCAACCAATAGAAAAAACTTTAAAAGAATTTAATATGAAAGACTTGGTTTTTGCTCTTTGTCAGTCGTGGAATGCGTTACCGTCATCAACTATTAAATCGTCTTGGATAAAGTTATGGCCAAATATAGTCACCACTCCTAGCAACGTTCCACAAATCAGTGTTACTTCGGAAGTTATAGAACAAGTCGCTACTGAAATACAGATAAGTCCGGAAGATTTGGGAATCTGGTGCCGTGGAATGGATAAAGCGGAAAATGTTTTTCATGAAATGTCTGACGAAGAGATTATAAAAGAGGTTTCTAATTATACAACAAACAATCAGGAAAATAACGACGACATGATTGCAACTGATCCACAAGTCACAGCACAAGACGCAATTAATGCCTTTGAGCTAGGTTTACAATGGGCTGAAGAGAATGGTACATCCTACAACGAACTTTTACTCTTGAGAAGACTGAGGGACAAAGCTCTGATCTCGCGTTATAACAACCTTAAACAAAAAAAAATTGATGAATATTTCCAAGATTCATAATTTGATAAATTCATTAATGATTTGATTAATAATTCTTGATTATTTTGGTACATATGTATGTGCATTTATGCTCAATTTTATAATAAAACGTAAGCTCTCTATTGTTATTTAATTTACTAAATTCGACATACATAAACTATGTATGATTTGTACTTCAAAGTACATACATATACATAACATATATAATCTTACCATTGGATATGTAATTTTTCGGATTACAAGGTACTCTTTTGTAAAAAATTCCGGACTATAGGGGGTCTTAGGCAGTGCTCTATAATCCGACAAATTCGATAGTCCGATACTGCCCTGCATAATGTTTGTCGGATTACCGGAGATCCACTGAAATAATAATGATAATAATAATAATAATTATGTCTTTATTCCCACAAAAGAAAATACAAAACAAGTTGCAAAACCAGTTTTATATGAACATATAGTGGTAGGAGCGAAGTTCGGCATATCCGCTCTTCCACTTAACCCCTGGTTTTAGGTTTACATCATAATAGGTAAGATAAGCGTATATATAAATGAGATAAAAAAATATATGTATTTATAAGCAGTATCAGAGAATGGACCCTAGCGGCTAATTTGATAAATGGTACTATAAAAATACATAATGACTCCAAAGTCATACCATGCAATGTAATAGCGTATACGTTTTTAAACAAATCAATAGAAAGAGAAGTATTACTCTCGCGGGATATTATTATAAAGTTTGCTGATATTATACAAAAAAGATCTTTCGAATAAGGTGGTAGAATGAAAAGGCGGTGTCAGTTTTGTTTTGTTGCGGGTATTGCGATTGTGAGCTAACGGAAATGAATTTTTCGTGTAAGTAGGATGATAGTTTATATATAATAATCCTATGGTACTGTACGAGGCTATGAAGCAGCCTGCGTTTCTTCATGTTCAGCCAGCCAGTATCAGTAAGCTTTGATGAAACAGAATCGTATTTTCTCAAACCAAAAATAAGTCGCGTTGTATTTTATCAGAGGTGAATTTAGTTAGATATTTGTCATAAACGACATCACAGAAGTTAAAATGCGACAGAACAAGAGAATTGCATAGTATGACTTTAGTTTTTTGGTTCGTGCAAGATTTTTGACCGTATATCGTCTTTAAATTACAATGCGCTCTTCTGGAGCAGTTGTTAACATGATCCTCAAACCTTAAGTTTTTGTCAAGGTATAAGCCTAAATTACGCGCTATCGAGCTTATTTCTAAAGTATTATTATCGAGGTTTATTTTCACCAGAGGTTCACAAAGGTCTCTCCAATTTTTCGGCTCGAATAACATGACTGTGATTCAAGTCTAAGTATATGTTTCGAAAAGCTTTAGTGGTCGTTATTTATCAGATCAACAGCAGGCAATGTTTGAGCTGGAGGAAATGATAAGTACACTTGTGTATCATCTGAATAAAAATGAGCTTTACAAGAGTGAAGACTGAAGTATAGATTAGAGGTGTAAATAATGAACATTAGCAGACCCAGAATAGAGCCCTGAGGAACACCAGTGGTCACATTGAAGATATATGAGTGAACGAATTATAAACCATGAACATTTTCTATTAACACTTGCTTTTCCGACGAATGTTCCTTTTCCTTAAATGGCGTAGTAAATCGTCATAACTGCCGATATTGGTTCGATCCTAATCCCAGAATTTATCATGAGGTTCATACACATCAGCCACAAAAATTAAATGTTTGGGCTGGTATTTTTGGCGATCATTTAGTACCGGTTCAGTTCATTCTTCATTTTTAAATTACTCTGCTGCCAAATGTATTGATCTCCACTAATGGTGACGTATTAGTTTTATTTAAGCTTTAAATCAATAAATCTTCGAAACTACTGAACTGAAGCACATTAATTTTATATCATTATAAAGGGAATTGGAATACCTTTAAAATAAGGTATCACTCGACCCCCCCTTTCCATTTAAGATTTTAGTGTTGATCTCACCCCCGCCCAGGGAGCTGCACGTGTTAACGTGATTTTTTGCCAAACTTGTGTCCCCCTCGAAAACAGAATCGACGGGTCTGAGCGTTTTTCAAAAAAAAACTGAGCTGCCAGTAAATGCGTCTGTTTCGTTTTTGATGCGCCACCCTGTTTAAACTGATGGACAGTTTCTTTGCAACATGGAAAATTTTACCCAAATTCAAATCTCGATATTTCCGGAACGGAAAGAGATATCGAGCTGCGGTATTCGGGAGGTTCTTGACCAACTCTTTGAGAACACGTACAGGGTTCGACCGGTATATTTGATTTACTTATCCACTTATACAGGTGAGCAAAGGTAGTCGTGCTTTTTAGCAAAGTTTGGGACTAGGTCGGATTCGCAATTTTTGAACTTGGAAATTTCTCTATGCATGTTCAAACTCATTATTAAAACTCTTTTTGCCAATCTTATTCATAAGATTCTGAATCTTCTGTTTCATTCCTAAACATGAAGGTGAAGGTCGTTTTCTAATTTGGATCTACTACTATTACTCTTCATGGCTACGCAGGCATATTATTCGATTTACAGGAATGGGAAAAGATTTTGCCAAGTCGATACAGCATTCTCAATAATTGCACTTACCGGCATCTCAACAATCAAAATATACTAAGTGATATATAAATACGAACACCCAGTTTAAATGGTTTTATTTTAATAAAACTTTGTATAAGTACTTAATGAAGCATAATAAGTAAATGATAAATATTTCAAAATGATTGCACTGCTTTAAAGCCCTTTGACCTTTAATAATGTGTGGATGCACCCTGATGTGCTACGCGTTCTCCAACGCGCCTAGGCATGCTTCTGATCAGGTGGTCAATGTCCTCCTGTGGTATCTCATTCCAAGCAACCACCAACTCCTCTCGAAGTGCTTCTAGAGTCTGAGGAGGACGTTGCAAATTGAGCAATCTCCTACCCATCATATCCCACACGTGCTCAATTGGGGATAAGTCAGAAGAGCTTGGTGGCCATGGTAACAATGTGACATCATTATGTTGAAAGAAGTCTATTGTGACTCTTGCAACATGTGGTCGGGCATTATCTTGTTGGAAAGTTGGATCTGCTAGGGTGTCAAGATAGGGTAAAAGATGGGGTTCTAGAACTTCGTGGATATAACGCTGCGCGTTCATGTTACCTCTGATGAAGATTAAAGGTGACCTGGAACCATAAGCTATAGCACCCCAAACCATAACTCCAACAGTGTGATGAACATGTCTTTCAACAAAAAACTGTGGATTCCTCCTTTCACAACGTCGCCTTCTAACCCTGGCACGACCATCGTGCATGCCTAAACAAAATCGAGACTCGTCACTAAAGACAATACTATTCCATTCCTGATCCCAGAGTGACCGTTGTCTGCACCACTCAAGGCGATTACGTCGGTGTTCTCGAATTAAAGGGAGGACCCAGTGTGGCCGGTATGAAAACAAGCCGAAACTTCTTATTCGTCGGTAAACACTTCGCATGCCAATAGGTCTTCCGTATTCTGCAAACCATTCATTTGCAATGGACCTGGTAGTGGAGAAACGGTCCCTTAAGGCCAATAATCTTAGGCGGCGATCTTCACGGTCTGTTATTCTACGGCGGCGTCCAGTGCCCCTTGCTCTTTGCGTACGGCCTTCTCGACGCCATGCCTGACAAGACCTAACCACAGTGTCTACAGTTCTTTGCACTCTAACTGCAATTGCCCGAAAAAAAAGTCCAGCTTCCCGAAGTCCCACTATACGGACCCTATCAAACTCACTAAGTTGACGAAATCGTACAGGTCTCCGTACTCTAGGCATCGTAACCGATCGTAAAGGATGTCAAGAACCAAAATCCGCCAACGTTGATTCTTTACTGCGGCTGAAATATTCATTTCTAGAACGTTAGTGAATTAAAAAAAAGCAGTATAAAAACCGGAATGTCCAACTGATAAGGCTGAAAAATTTTTCACTTGTTATTTACAGTAAGATACATACATTTACTAACTTTTATTAAAATAAAACCATTTAAACTGGATGTTCGGATTTATATGTCACTTAGTATAAATGATATCAATTGTGACGGTGTCGTTTTTGACATTAACGTGGCATTTTACGATAATACCCATCAAATGTATGAAGAAATATAAAACTGGATCCTTTTGAAAGCAATGGGCATATACATGACTCCAGATGATAAATTTCGATGTTCGCACATGGCTTAACTATGTAAGTAAGAATAAGCTCGAATACAAATCTCGAATTTAATAATTGTCGATTACTTTCAGCTTGATAGGATTGCTTGCCGTAATAGGACAAATAGATTTAGCTTTAGACGGTAGTTCTAGTAAGTTACATTACAATAAATTATCCGATTTCGACGACATAGTGGAAACAGAAAACAAAAAACTCAGATCGATCCCTGGCTCAGTCATAGGGATATACAGTCTAGATCATCGGGTGGAGCAGGGTTGAATTCTATGAATGATAGGTCGCAGAACGATGCAGGTAGGTAAAAAAAAATTCTTGTAGTTTTATTAGTCTTTGATATACAGGGTGGCCCATCGAAAACGAAACAAACGCATTTACTGGCAGCTCAGGTTTTTTTTGGAAAAACGCTCAGACCCGTCCATTTTGTTTTCGAGGGGGACATAAGTATGGCAAAAAATTACGTTAGCACGTGCAGCCCCCTAAGCGGGGGTGACACCACCGCCAAAATCTTAAATGGAAAGGGGGGTCGAGTGATACCTTATTTCAAAGGTCTCTCAATTCCCTTTATAATGATGTGAAATACATGAGCTTCAGTTCAGTAGTTTTGAAGATTTATTGATTTAAAGCTTAAAGTAGACTTTAATAGGTACATCAGATTAGTTTGTACCACTTTCAGAAGAAATTTGAATAAAAGAATATACTTAATAAGTAAATGCTTTTCTTCACTACGCCCATGGTTTGTTTATCATTTTGTTGTTGAAAATAGCTATTGGAGCGTTTTTTTGTGGTAAAAAAGTTATTTCTTGAAGAAAGATAAGGAAATATCTCGTAATTATTTTAAATAATAATTTAGTACATAGTTTGCGATTGATTTGGCCAAACTTTGTTGCTAAATAACTTGTAACGCTTTATTATATAAATTAACCATGGTATATTCCACAGCAGAAAAAGTTGAAATTTTTCGGAAATAATCAGTGCGCTAATAGATCAGCAGAAATATTTAATGAGCGACATGAGAACAGTAACGTGCATCGAGAATATGTTCCAGAACTTATAGCTAAATTTCGGGAAACTGGGTCAGTCGCCAATAAAAAACGCAACATTGAAAATCCCATAAGGAACGAAGCAATAGAAGTGGGGGATTTAGGGCAAGTTTATATAGATCCTACGTTAAGTACCCGCAAATTGGAGACTGTGTGTGTTGTTAGTCTTTTCTTTTTTCTTATTTATTGATATGATTAGCCCAGTAGTTAGCCAGTTTTTTCTATGAGTTTCGTTGTGTTTTATCTTAACTTTGTTAGTATTCTTTGAGATATATTTTTTAATAATGTTGGTGAGATGTTTAGATGCTTCATGTACATCACTTGACCTATACAGGGTGTTTCAGTTTATTGTTGCATAACTTTAAGATACGATAGAACTTTTAAAATTAGTGCATAAAGTCTATATAAACATGGGTCGAAAAATGCGTGGCTTCCGAAATACAGGGTGTTTAAATTTACTTTCTAAAATAGTTTTTTTTTTAAATATTTCTGACAATATTTGATGTATAACAGTGAAAATTGGTATACAAGGATTTTTTGGTATGACAAAACGAACCATGGGCATAGTTTTACTGTAGCCGCTAGAGGGCGCTCTCTACTGTACCTACAGTGTATTTAAATAATCGAAAATTTTTTCTTAGTGCAATTTTTTGCTTTTTGAATAAAAAAACTGATTCTCCGCACTTTTTAACATAAAAAAGCTCTCCTGTGAGTTTTCGTTATAGTTAGCCATTTTTGAGATATTTCGATTTTTAAGGTTCGATGCATTTTTAATTATTTATGGGAAAATAATATTTTTTTTACATTTTCGATTTGGGCATTACAAGTAATTAAGAGGATCGTTTAGATTGTGTTTTTAAACACAGCAATAATTCCTTACTCCAAATAAACACAAAAAAACAGAATATCAATTTGTTTAATTTTCCAATATTATTTTTAACAAATTAAATTAATTATTTACAACTAAAATGCTATTGGATAGTTAGGACAAACATACAAAATCTAAAGTAGTTGCTCGAAATGTAAACCCAGTTGTTCAATACACAATTCACATCTACGAATGATCGAACGTGGTATTGCATTATTCAAATAAGGCCTTATTTCATCAAATGCATTCCTGATTCTGTCTATTAGCATATCTCTTGTGGTTACGGGAGTCTGGTACACTTTTTCTTTTAGAAATCCCTACACAAAGAAATCTAATGGATTTAGGTCAGGGGATCGTGGAGGCCAGGCGACTGGTCCTCCACGGCCGATCCATCTTTCTGGATAATTCTCGTCCAGCGAGTTTCTAACTATTCTCGAATAAACGGACAACCATCAAGCTGGAACCATGCCAATCTTCTTAAATCTAACATAACATCATCTCACATTTTTGCATGTTCAGCTTTTAAAAATTCCAAGAAGGTCGCAGCATTTAACCTCGCAGGCAAAAGGTAGGGTCCAAATAGTCGATTACGGTAGATACCAATCCACACGTTCACTCTAAATTCATGCTGAAAATTTCTTTCCCGAACTGCATGCGGATTTTCATGCGACCAAATATGTTGATTATGAAAATTTACCACTCCACGTCTAGTGAAGCATGACTCATCGGTCCATAAAACGTTACTTAAAAACTCCCTTTTATTATCAGTTCTATCAAGAATCCACTGACAAAATGTGATTCTTCGTTCTCCGTCCCCTGGCTGTAGTCCTTGCACAGGTTGCAAATGGTAAGGACGTCTATGGTCATTTCTAAGAACACGGTGACCATGGCTTGCTGACATTCCCAAGGCACCAGAAACTCTCCTAACACTTGTGGTCGGATCTCTATCAAACTCACGCAGAATCATACGGGTAAATCTGCGCTGACGAACATTTATATTTTGATCCCTTTGGAGATTTCCAAAACCATTTTCAATTATTTGGCGATGCACTCTTACAAATACTGAGCGAGTTGGATGTCGTCTGTTTGGAAATCTTCGTGCATATTCTCTGGCTGCTTCTGCTGCGTTTCCATTTACAAAGCCATACACAAAATGAATAACCGCTACCACTTGATTGGAGAATAAAAATGGCATTTTTATAAAACTTACAAAAAAAACGGTAAAAGAAACTAAATTTCGTGCATTCACAATTGCAAAAAACGTTTCAGGTTTCAACAGACAACAAAACTAACTGTCAACTAATTGACGTTTAACCTTATTCTGCCTTCAATTTCAAAAATATTTGCAGGCACAGCCTACTTCTAAAAATTATCGAGATGCTGACTTTTTAACGTTATTTTATCATAAATAATTAAAAATGCATCGAACCTTAAAAATCGAAATATCTCGAAAACGGCTAGCTATAACGAAAATTCACGATGGAGCTTTTTTATGTTGAAAAGTGCGAAGAATCAGTTTTAGAAAAAAATTTCGGTCATTTTAATACACTACTGGTACAGTAGAGAGCGCCCTCTAGCGGCTACAGTAAAACTATGTTTCGTTTTGTCATATCAAAAAACCCTTGTATACCAATTTTCACTGTTATACATCAAATATTGTTCGAAATATTTAAAAAAAAACTATTTTAGAAAGTAAATTTAAACACCCTGTATTTCGGAAGCCACGCATTTTTCAACCCATGTTTATATAGACCTTATGCATTAATTTTAAAAATTCTATCGAATCTTAAAGTTGTGCAACAATAAACTGAAACACCCTGTATATGTCATCCAAGGTCTCAGTATCGAGATCTACTGTCAGCTTTTCGTAATTTATAATAATAATAATAATGTTTATTGTCACAAAATACAAGTAAATATCAAATATTGTGCACAATAAACAAGAAGCACCCAAAAAAAGTTTGCACTTGTGTTTGGGTTTGTACAAAATAAAAACTAATAGTACAGTCAGTGTATGAAAAAAAAAAGAAAAAACCCGTTATATATTCTTTGTACCTATATTATTATTTTTGTTAGGTTGGTTATTAACAAAACTTGCTCGATTAAGGGGTAGTGTTAGTATGGTACCATAATGATCGGTTATAGTTGATTTTACTGCGAAGCAGTGCATTTATCAATTTCCTTTAATCTACTTTTAAGAAAAATGTGGTCAATGCAGGTATTGAATTCTTTAAGGACTCAAGTTAGTATTTTACAAGAGAAATAAAATTGATTTCAGAAAGCATATTTAAGTACTCATGAACAGATAAGCTATTGTCATCTAAGAATGAATACATGTATCAGTTAAATAATACAAACAAAGAAATGTAGTACTTCCGAAGGTACGTGCATTGTTATTCTTCTCCTAAGCCCTTTCCACTCCAAATGCGGAATACGCAAACCAGCCCAAGGACTCCGGCGCCAGAGCCCTCTTCAGTGACCGTGTACCAGACCTGCCCACGCTGATCAACAGCCAAAAAATATCCTAAATAAAATCAACAAAATATTATTATTTTTAATGTGCTAAAACCGGAATGAAACTTGTTTTTTCAATATTAGTTCAAGTTTCAGAGATACGGTAATTATACGTGTTCCTGCTGTGACAGTGTTAATATACTGTAATTCACAAGAATGCACGTGCTACATTTTTATATTCGGCAAGGAAAGATGATGTAATCGGCATGATTGTGTTACGTTATACATACGTGTACATTATATTGTTTTATATTAGCCATTTTTTCCTCAGTTGGCTGACAGCGTTCATGCAAGATGTCTCGAAAGTGTGTAAACAATCTACGTAGATCAGTTTTGTTACGTGTGTGGTGATGTGACTTTTGCGTCTCAGAGATGGTCTATTACTCCACTAATAACAAAGGCATATCAGCTTTATTTCGGTTGTAAACTAGGTGATCAAGACAAACAGTGGGCACCAAACATCTGCTGTAATACATGTGCTTCAAGTCTGAGGAGCTGGTTAAATGGCAAAAAACGGTCTATGCGCTTTGCTGTCCCAATGGTTTGGAGAGAGCCTACAAATCATATTAATGATTGTTACTTTTGCATGGTACCTTGTGTTGGACAAGCCACAGGTATGTCCAAGAAAAAAAAATCGGTTATTAACTACCCAAACATACCATCTGCGATGAGACCTGTGCGTCACAGTGACGAAAATCCTATTCCAAAACCCCCAGAATCCTACACTTGCGAATCAGAAAACGAATCAGATCATGGCAATCGCGTGATTCGTCAGGAAGAAGATATGCCATCAACGTCAAGAGATCCTGATTTTATACCGAGCACGTCATGCCATCAACCTCACAAAATAACACAGTCAGAATTAAATGATCTTGTAAGAGATTTAGAACTTCCAAAATGTAAGGCAGAGTTACTTGGATCAAGACTGCAGCAGTGGAACTTGTTAGAAGACGATGTTTCGGTATGTGTTTTTCGTAAACGCCACAAAGAATGTGGAGAATAACTTGGTTTTCTGCAGTAACATTAACGGCTTACTGGCGGCTTTAAACATAAACTATAACCCAGAAGAATGGAGATTGTTTATAGACAGTTCAATATTGAGTTTAAAGACAGTGTTATTGCATATTGGAAATATTTTACCACCTCTTCCTGTAGGGTACGCAGTTCACATGAAAGAATCATTTGACAATATGAAGTACCTATTGACATGCATAAAATACGATGAGCACCAATGGCATATTTGTGGCGATTTGAAAGTTGTTGCACTTTTACTTGGGCTGCAGCTAGGCTACACAAAGTTTTGCTGTTTTTTGTGTGAATGGGACAGTCGGGCAAAGGCACTTCATTACACCAGACAAAACTGGCCTGTTCGTCAATTCCTAGAGCCAGATTAAAAAAATTTACAGCATATGCCATTAGTAGATTCGAAAAAAATTTTATTACCACCACTGCATATCAAGTTGGGCCTAATGAAAAACTTTGTCAAGGCATTAGATAGAGATGGGTCAGCTTTTCAATACCTGCGTCAGGAATTTCCAAGACTAAGTGAGGCAAAGGTTAAAGAAGGTATTTTTGTTGGGCCACAGATTCGAAATATTTTGAAAGATACACAGTTTGAAAACACTTTAACAGGCATTGAAAAAGCTGCTTGGAATGATTTCCGTCTGGTGGTCACTAATTTCTTGGGAAATAGAAAAGCTGACAACTATAAAACCCTTGTCAAAAATATGATGTCATCGTATCAAAAGATGGGCTGTAATATGTCTCTTAAGATACATTTCCTACACTCACACCTGGACTTTTTTCCTGACAATTGCGGAGCCGTAAGTGATGAGCCCGGCGAACGTTTTCATCAGGATATTTCAACAATGGAAAAAAGGTACCAGGGAAAGTGGAATCCTTCCATGCTTGCAGACTACTATTGGACTCTTGGTAGAGATGCTCCAGAAACGATCCATAAAAGAACAGCAAAAAGACAGCGCATATAGTGATTCTTATAAGTATATGAATCTTGTTACTTTTTTTAATATATCCTTAAAAATAAAAAGTTTTTTTTCTAAGCCGCAACTAATTTTTTTATTTCATTGTCATTTTTGGATTCAGCACCCCAAAATTAACAAAGAAGTGCACTTTTCCCACAAGATACAATTAAAAAACTAAAATTTGTTGTCTAGTTGATTATAATCAATTCACCCCTGCACTGAAGGACAGGATCCTCCCTTTGCAGTTCGACTAAGATAGCAGTGTGACCCTTGACAGGGTTCAAAAGGGCCAAACTGCCCTGATTCCAAAAGACTGCGACTTGCCTAACCAAGGCATCTCTGATAGAGTCGGTTATAGTGCAATTAAATGCATCTTCATGTAGAGAATCTCAAAATGAATAAGATTGATCAACAAAATTCGACTTTACGAAATGGAATATCTCAACAAAAAACCTTCACAGCAACCTCGACACCATTCACAGAGTTAAAAAGTTCGAAATTAATCTTATTATTTCTTCGTTTCTGTTCTCTTACCCCCGTCCATTGTTCTAAAGACGCTGAGTGAAAACTTTATACCAAAGCTTTCCTTCATGTTGTAGGCAAAATCTCAGGACGTTTCACATTCGAAAAGCCCGTCCAATATATAGCTGAAAATTCTGCGGACGAATCTGGCTACTACCACGTGGAATCACGGAGAACAGAAATTACCAAACCCAAGATATTCAATCGCAGCAAAGATACTCTATCCCAGGTAGAACATTTTACTTGTAAACATGCTTCTACTATTGGAGAACCTGAATATAATCCAGGTAAGCAGAAACAAAATAGAAGTACCAAAATGCTCTTGGCTATTAGGCCATTCTTTTCAGAAATCTGCATTTCAGAAAATACTGGGAAATCGTCAACACAACCCGTTGGAGCACCATCGTTATCGGAAGATGCAGACCTCGAAGACGCCTGCAATGCAATCAACCAGATCCTCAGAAATCCTCTTGTGGATCGGCTATTAATGAACACGATATATAAACCTCCAGATCCTGCAAATCTCTCAGATAAGTGGAACACGTTTGTCTTCATAGTGAGGAAGTTAGAACCGAATACACCACAAGGGATTTTGGAACATCCAAATGCCAAAGACTGCGTAAAAATGTGAGTACAGAACTAATCCATTCAAAGGAACATATTTGAATAATTGATCCCAAATTGTAAACAACGTATAAAATTAAGAATAAACATAGACGTACCTATTGGATCAGTATTAGATCCGATCCTATTCTTGGTCTATATCAATGATTTAATGAACTTAAGCATAAATGGTAAGTTCGTAGTTTTTCTCCGCATTCTCATGGTAGCTGATATACACAATCTATGGAGTTTTATTTTTGTTCATAGGTTTTATCTTCGCCAGGATACTGCGAAGTTTGGTGTTCCTTGAAAATATAGTTTCGATTTGGTTCGTCTTCCTATTCTTTTCAGTGTATCACTTATTCCCTCGACATATAATAGAATTAGTGTATGGTGGGGTTCATTCCGCGTGCTTCTAATGTTGTTGGTGTTGTCGTTCAGAATTTCATTTATCAGTCGTCTTGGGTAGCCATTTCTTATCAGATCTTCAGTCATGTGGTTGATTTCTTCCTGGAGACATGTCTGCATGATGTAGATACTCTTTGCCCGGTGGACAAGAGTTCTAATTACGCCTTTCACGAAAGTGCTTCAGCTTAACATCGAAGATTTTAATGGCAATTCACTTAAGCCACTCTCTATACAGGGTGTTTCAGTTTATTGTTGCATAACTTTAAGATTTGATAGAACTTTTAATATTAATGCATAAAGTCTATATAAACATGGGTCGAAAAATGCGTGGCTTCCGAAATACAGGGTGTTTAAATTTACTTTTTAAAATAGTTTTTTTTTAAATATTTCGAACAATATTTAATGTATAACAGTGAAAATTGGTATACAAGGTACAAGGGTTTTTCGGTACGACAAAACGAACCATGGACATCGTTTTACTGTAGCCGCTAGAGGGCGCTCTCTACTGTACCTGCAGTGTATTAAAATGACCGAAAAATTTTTCTTAGTACAATTTTTTGGTTTTTGAATAAAAAAACTGATTCTCCGCACTTTTCTGCATAAAAAAGCTCTCCTGTGAGTTTTCGTTATAGTTAGCCGTTTTTGAGATATTTCGGTTTTTAAGGTTCGATGCATTTTTAATTATTTATGATAAAATAACGTTAAAACGTCAGTATCTCGATAATTTTTAGAAGTACGCTGTGCCTGCAAATATTTTTGAAATTGAAAGCAGAATAAGGTTAAACGTCAATTAGTTGACAGTTAGTTTTGTTGTCTGTTGAAACCTGAAAGGTTTTTTGCAATTGTGAATGCACGAAATTTAGTTTCTTTTACCTGTTTTTTTTGTAAGTTTTATAAAAATGTCATTTTTATTCTCCAATCAAGAGTTAGCGGATATTCATTTTGTGAATGGCTTTGTAAATGTAAACGCAGTAGAAGCAGCCAGAGAATACGCACGAAGATTTCCAAACAGACGACATCCAACTCGCTCAGTATTTGTAAGAGTGCATCGCCAAATAATTGAAAATGGTTTTGGAAATCTCCAAAGGGATCAAAACACATGTTCGTCAGCGCAGATTTACCCGTATGATTCTGCGTGAGTTTGACAGAGATCCGACCACAAGTGTTATGAGAGTTTTTGGTGCCTTGGGAATTTCAGCAAGCCATGTTCACCGTGTTCTTAGAAATGACCATAGACGTCCTTACCATTTGCAACCTGTGCAACGACTACAGCCAGGGGACGGAGAACGAAGAATCACATTTTGATAGAACTGATAATAATAGGGAGTTTTTAAGTAACATTTTATGGACCGATGAGTCATGCTTCACTAGACGTGGAGTGGTAAATTTTCATAATCAACATGTTTGGTCGCATGAAAATACGCATGCAGTTCGGGAAAGAAATTTTCAGCATCAATTTAGTGTGAACGTGTGGATTGGTATCTACCGTAAGCGACTACTTGGACCCTACCTGTTGCCTGCAAGGTTAAATGCTGCGACCTTCTTGGAATTTTTAAAGGTTGAACATGCAAATATGTGGGATGATGTTATGTTAGATTTAAGAAGATTGGCCTGGTTCCAGCTTGATGGTTGTCCAGCTCATTATTCGTGAATAGTTAGAAACTGGCTGGAAGGAATTTTCCAGAAAGATGGATCGGCCGTGAAGGGCCAGTCGCCTGGCCTCCACGATCCCCTGACCTAAATCCATTAGATTTCTTTGTGTGGGGATTTCTAAAAGAAAAAGTGTACCAGACTCCCGTAACCACAAGAGATATGCTAATAGACAGAATCAGGAATGCATGTAATGGAATAAGGCCTTATTTCAATAATGCTATACCACGTTCGATCATTCGTAGATGTAAATTGTGTATTGAACAATTGGGTTTACATTCCGAGCAACTACTTTAGATTTTGTATGTTTGTCCTAACTATCCAATAGCATTTTAGTTGTAAATAATTAATTTAAGTTGTTAAAAATAATATTGGAAAATTAAACAAATTAATATTCTGTTTTTTTGTGTTTATTTGGAGTTAGGAATTATTGCTGTGTTTAAAAACACAATCTAAACGATCATCTTAATTACTTGTAATGCCCAAATCGAAAATGTAAAAAAAATATTATTTTCCCATAAATAATTAAAACTGCATCGAACCTTAAAAATCGAAATATCTCAAAAACGGCTAACTATAACGAAAATTCACAAGAGAGCTTTTTCATGTTGAAAAGTGCGAAGAATCAGGTTTTTTATTCAAAAGGCAAATAATTGCACTAAGAAAAATTTTCCGGTCATTTTAATACACTACAGGTACAGTAGAGAGCGCCCTCTAGCGGCTACAGTAAAACTATGCCCATGGCTCGTTTTGTCGTACCAAAAAACCATTGTATACCAATTTTCACTGTTATACATCATATATTGTTCGAAATATTTAAAAAAAATATTTTAGAAAATAAATTTAAACACCCTGTATTTCGGAAGCCACGCATTTTTCGACCCATGTTTATATAGACTTTATGCATTAATTTTAAAAGTTCTATCGAATTTTAAAGTTATGCAACAATAAACTGAAACACCCTGTATAGTTCGTACAATTTTGACGAAATTTTTGGAGTCTTTGATATGTGATGATGTTGTTCCTTCCCGTGGCTGAAGATATTTGGCCCAGTTGTATGTCAGGAATCCTCTTGAGCTGGCTATATGCCAAAGTGACGTATCTTCTCTGCAAGCCTTTGTTAAGCCGTAAAGGTATGACGGCTTGCTGAACTTTGGTGTCATCATTTTCTGTTAGGTATTCTTTGTACTTCTTTAACTTTTAAGCTAGTTATCGCTCAATTTTGTCCATTGGATCCTTTGACAGTTGCTTGTAATCTTCTTTCCTCATTGCTTAGTCAATTTTTCTGTCGTATGTCGTTGTATCTATGATAACTAGCATTCCCCTTATCTGCTGCAAGTATTTTGTCTTGTTTCAGAGTCTTGAGATCAGGGGGTTCCTAATTTGCTTACATTCGTTTTTATTCCTCCCTCCAAAACTGATATCACTTTCCATCTGAATTCTTCGGCCTAGGTCTAGTAAATTATACAGGGTGTCCGCAAAGTTGGGGTTTTCCTTTTCAGAAACAACTACCCTTGAAATAACAAAGGTAATGTGTAGAGAAACGAGGGCGACCAAGTAAAAAAAAATAAAGGAAAAAGTACTCACTCTCCAGGGCTAAGTACGTCTCTGCTGAAATCATACCGCTCCAACAGAAAATGAAATCAGCTGATGCGCTACCGAGCAGACGCAGGCAAACAAGGAAGGCAAAATGTTGCGTAAAAAGTCTAGGTATTGCATCCCGTCCAATCGATTTGGGAGAATAAATGGTCCAATGAGCATACCGTTCACCATGCCAGCCCAAACATTCACCGAAAGTGTTTGTTGAAAATGTGCCCGACGGACAGCGTGCGGATTTTCTACTGACGAAACATGAGTGTTGCGAAAGTTATTCACCCCATTACGCGTGAACGTAGATTCGTCTGTCACCAATATGCACTTCAAAAAGTCCGGATTATTGTCATGTTGATGCAACAACCACTCACAAAACCGCACTTTTGCTGGAAAATCGTCAGGTTGAAGGGCTTGTACACGTTGGACGTGAAACGGATACAGCCCCTCTTCTCGCAGCGTTTGCGACACTTTAGTTTTTGATACTTGCACTTCTTTAGCCACGTCTCTAGTGCTTGTTGAGGGATTCTCGTCTACGCGATTACCTCTACACGCGTGACCGTAACCGTCGGTTGAAGGTTGCATACTGACCTGACACACTGATCCCGACCCAGTTCTGTCGTCGGGTGGAGCTAGTGTCCTAGTACCACTCGGGGATGTCGTGGCTACAGGACGGTATTCAGATATTTTTGATGTTGCAGAGCCCTTTGTCTCGGTTCCCTTAAGACATTGGTGTATATGGTACTAAGAAAAATTGCTTATGTTTTCAAGATCTACACGTCGTGTAAAGGAAAACCCCAACTTTGCGGACACCGTGTATATTCGAATAAATGTCTTTATTTTTTGAACCATAGGTACGTCAGGAAAAGACGAAGAAAGCGACACTCTACTGCCACACTGCTGAAGAGGAAACAAAAAATGATAAAGCGGTTGCAACGGAGGGACACTATCGACAAAATGCAAGAAGATGACCTGTTCAAAGACATAGCAAAGTTTTTAGTTTCCAACAAGTTGAAACACAAAGGTTATACTTACGTACCGGTCATGTTTTCTCACCAAGTTAACGACGGATTAGCAGGCTATACAGTTCGTGATTTGAACGGAGATCTCAACGTGAAATTGACTGAGGCGTCTACTATGCCTTTTTCGGCTAGTAAGAGCGCGACAGCGATAAGTAGTACGACGACAGCTACAACAGCTTCCTCAGCAACGTCAGCTTCAACGCCTCTTTGGACGGTTAGTATACAAAGTGACATATAAATCCGAACACCCAGTTTAAATGGTTTTATTTTAATAAAATTTTGTATAAGTACTTAATGAAGCATAATAAATAAATGATAAAAATTTCAAAATGATTGCACTGCTTTAAAGCCCTGTGACCTTTAATAATGTGTGGATGCACCCTGATGTGCTACGCATTCTCCAACGCGCCTAGGCATACTTCCGATCAGGTGGTCAATGTCCTCCTGTGGTATCTCATTCCAGGCAACCACCAACTCCACTCGAAGTGCTTCTAGAGTCTGAGAAGGACGTTGCAAATTGAGCAATCTCCTACCCATCATATCCCACACGTGCTCAATTGGGGATAAGTCGAGAGATCTTGGTGGCCATGGTAACAATGTGACATCATTATGTTGAAAGAAGTCTATTGTGACTCTTGCAACATGTGGTCGGGCATTATCTTGTTGGAAAGTTGGATCTGCCAGGGTGTCAAAATAGGGTAAAAGGTGGGGTTCTAGAACTTCGTGGATATAACGCTGCGCGTTCATGTTACCTCTGATGAAGATTAAAGGTGACCTGGAACCATAAGCTATAGCACCCCAAACCATAACTCCAACAGTGTGATGAACATGTCTTTCAACAAAAAACTGTGGATTCCTCCTTTCACCACGTCGCCTTCTAACCCTGGCACGACCATCGTACATGCCTAAACAAAATCGAGACGCGTCACTAAAGACAATACTGTTCCATTCCTGATCCCAGAGTGACCGTTGTCTGCACCACTCAAGGCGATTACGTCGGTGTTCTCGAGTTAAAGGGAGGACCCAGTGTGGCCGGTATGAAAACAAGCCAAAACTTCTCATTCGTCGGTAAACACTTCGCATGCCAATAGGTCTTCCGTGTTCTGCAAACCATTCATTTGCAATGGACCTGGTAGTGAAGAAACGGTCTCTTAAGGCCAATAATCTTAGGCGGCGATCTTCACGGTCTGTTGTTCTACGGCGGCGTCCAGTGCCCCTTGCTCTTTGCGTACGGCCTTCTCGAAGCCATGCCTAACAACACCTAACCACAGTGTTTACACTTCTTTGCACTCTAACTGCAATTGCCCGAAAAGAAAGTCCAGCTTCCCGAAGCCCCACTATACGGCCCCTATCAAACTCACTAAGTTGACGAAATCGTACAGGTCTCCGTACTCTAGGCATCGTAACCGATCGTAAAGGATGTCAAGAACCAAAATCCGCCAACGTTGATTCTTTACTGCGGCTGAAATATTCATTTTTAGAGCGTTAGTAAATTAAAAAAAGCAGTATAAAAACCGGAATGTCCAACTGATAAGGCTGAACATTTTTCACTTGTTATTTACAGTAAGATAAATACATTCACCAACTTTTATTAAAATAAAACCATTTAAACTGGGTGTTCGGATTTATATGTCACTTAGTATACATGATGTGGTCAATAAATGGTATGGTATGGAAACCAGGAGGTATCGTTCGAGACCACACTAAAGACTTACCCTGTATATTTATCCACAAAATAATGAATTGTTCTTGTTCATCGAAAATTAGGTACCGCCACCAAGCAGCACCGACTATAACGAGTTCGCTTTGAACTTGCCCAATCCTGTTACACATCTGAACCTGAACGAGGACAAGATGGCAACGGAAAGTGTCGCTATCCACGCTGGAGGTAGCATGGTCCCTGGAATACTCATATACCCGATTGGAAAGAAGCTGAAAAGGTTCCATAATGACAAAACTGATCTGGACTTTGCAGCGGATAATGCCGTCACTGAACTGGAGGTTGGGCTGGATCAGTCAACTAAAGCATCTATAGAGGTAACTATACGTGTGAGAGGTCAGAACTTTAATACTGGTTTATTTCATATCGTTGGATATTATACAACTGAGAAATATGAGAACGGTTAAGATGGCTAGACAGCAGGGGCGGCTGGCTCTTAAGTTCTGCAGAGCTACAGAACTGCTAAAGCTTTTGCTTTAACAGAAAAAAGCAGTAGTAATTTGATCATTATTTATTTTCCATGTCATCAGACAAATAGAAACAATACCGGCAATGCTGCCCCCGCAAGACGGCGTCGAGTCTGTTTTGTACTGAGAAAGCATTATAATCGACCAATTGTGTACTTGTCATTTTCGTCGTGACCGCAGCGTAACATTATTCATGGGCCACTTGAGAAGGGTCTGTGCACCACTTCGACACAAGTCGCACGCGCTTGCTTTTGTCTCTCTACAAAATCAAATGCGCGATTTAAGCATAACCATGTGCTGCATGTATTTAACGGCGAATCAGCAGAACGTTTTTGGAATTATATGAATCCCGAAAAATGTGACACTGATACTCTCACTAGACATATTTTGAGCGTCGTAGATCCATTAATAGGAAATTTCCCTAACAAACTGATTTCAGAAAGCTATGATGGAGCCGCGGTAATGAGCGGACATAATGCTGGAGTACAGGCAAAAATTAAACAAAGATATCCATTTGCTCACTATGTGCATTGCTATGCGCATCAGTTAAACCTGATTATGTCCCAAGCGCTTCCGCAAATGCTCAAGTTCGGGTGTTCTTTGGGGATTTGAAAGATATTCCGGGATGTTTTAATAATTCTCCTCAACGCGGCACTGAACAGAATTGTGGGGAAAAGATTCCCCAAGGATCAACAACTCGTTGGAATTTTAATATTCGAACAATAAATGTAGTGTTTGAGAACAGAGAATCACTCATTGAATGCATGGAGGAAATAGAAGAAAATTTCACTAATGAAACCGTTTGCAAGGCAGCTTGCGATATTCGCCGTATGTTAAACGATTCTGTTTTCGTGGCTTGGTTGACATTTTTTCATCATGTCATGCCTCACGTCGACATCTTGTTCAACCAGTTGCAGAAGAGAAAAACCGAGCCAGCGCAAGTTAAAACGGCTATCGATAATTTTGAAAAATGTATTGTCGATGTGAGAAATAAAATTGATGACATAATAAATTAAGCCAAAAGTATTTGCACTGAATCCCAAGGCAACAAAAGGAGACGACGTAACAATAGTAGTCACGACCACCGAGTTGCCGCATTAGAAGCATGCGACAATATAGTGAATTGACAGATTTCAATTAAAAGATAATTTGATAGCCGCATCCCTTTTTTTCTTCGAACACTTTGGGGAATACTGTGGTAGGTTTCCTGATGACAAGTTGGAAACTACCTGCTTGGCTTATCCCGAATTAGAAAAAAGTCGTTTAAAGACAGAGTTGTCTGTTATTTATGCACGGAATGATTGCCGAGATTTACATTGAACTCTGTCTCTTTTGAAATTCTTGATACAAAATAGTTTGGAGGGAACACTAAAAGAAACAAAAAAGCTATTAGAAATTATTGTTATAACTCCTATGTCAACATCAGAGACTGCGCGAAATTTCTTAACATTGAAAAGAATCAAGACGTTTCTTCGAAATACTATCGCCTTACAGCGTTGTCGATGCTGTCCATTGAAAAGGAATTTATTTCGACCATGGAAAATTTCAACGGGAAGGTGATCGACAAATTTGCTGCCAAGAAGTAGCGCAGGATCGAACTGACATATAAAAAATAGGTAAGTTCGGATTTGCAGAACACCTGTTTCATTTTGCCACGAGCCGCCACTGCTAGACAGTACTTGTCGAACACAATATTTGGCGCTATTTGAAAGTGTAAAGATTCAAATTCTGAAACATGCATGTGACTGCTTATTTGTGATTTCTCTAGACTTCACGGCCAATTATATCAAAGCTGCCGCGTGGATTGTATTAACCGTTCAGAAAAGGAGATCGTTGATATGCAAGAGGAACAAAGTCGGAGGCAAGATCGATCCCTGGGAAACACCTGCCTTGACGTTGTTGGGTGAAGAGGGGAACCTTCAATTAAGATGGATATTTTACGGCCAGAGAGTAAGTCAGCCACCCTTCTGCAAAGCTTCTCTGGAAGGCCATAGGATTGAAGTTTGCATAAAACGGCAGCATGCCATAACTAATCGAACGCTTTGTGGTATCAAGAGCCTCACCATATGAATGGATGAGTTTACTCCACAGTTGCATGACGAAAGTTTGGAGATTCCCTGAGATTCGCAGGTGCCGGAAACCATATTGCCTGTCGCTAATCAAGCCACGATGATCAAGGAACTCCATGTAGGGTGGAGAAAAACTCCTGAACCCTTCCCAATCGGCATGTCTGTAATGCCAAATTTTGCAACCTGGAGGAATTTCTGCTGACGCAGCTGGTTATGAGTGAAACCTGACCTAAACAACATCATGGTCTGAGTTACCCAGGGGAGCAGGGTAGGGGTGCTCAGAAAGAGTATTGGAGTCGACCCTTGGCGAACACTCGCGTTGCCAGTATGTGCTGCAAGGCGCCTCAGGAAGATCATACGACAGCGGTATATCATATTGTCCTCTTCTTGGTCTATCTACGTGTTATGTTACATGTCGGTAATCTATACTGACATATAAATCCGAACACCCAGTTTAAATGGTTTTATTTTAATAAAAGTTGGTGAATGTATTTATCTTACTGTAAATAACAAGTGAAAAAATTTTCAGCCTTATCAGTTGGACACTCCGGTTTTTATACTGCTTTTTTTTAATTCTCTAACGCTCTAAAAATGAATATTTCAGCCGCAGTAAAGAAGCAACGTTGGCGGATTTTGGTTCTTGACATCCTTTACGATCGGTTACGATGCCTAGAGTACGGAGACCTGTACGATTTCGTCAACTTAGTGAGCTGGACTTTCTTTTCGGGCAATTGCAGTTAGAGTGCAAAGAAGTGTAGACACTGTGGTTAGGTGTTGTCAGGCCGTACGCAAAGAGCAAGGGGCACTGGACGCCGCCGTAGAACAACAGACCGTGAAGATCGCCGCCTAAGATTATTAGCCTTAAGGGGACCGTTTCTCCACTACCAGGTCCATTGCAAATGAATGGTTTGCAGAACACGGAAGATCTATTGGCATGCGAAGTGTTTACCGACGAATAAGAAGTTTTGGCTTGTTTTCATACCGGCCACACTGGGTCCTCCCTTTAACTAGAGAACACCGACGTAATCGCCTTGAGTGGTGCAGACAACGGTCACTCTGGGATCAGGAATGGAACAGTATTGTCTTTAGTGACGAGTCTCGATTTTGTTTAGGCATGCACGATGGTCGTGCCAGGGTTAGAAGGCGACGTGGTGAAAGGAGGAATCCACAGTTTTTTGTTGAAAGACATGTTTATCGCACTGTTGGAGTTATGGTTTGGGGTGCTATAGCTTATGGTTCCAGGTCACCTTTAATCTTCATCAGAGGTAACATGAACGCGCAGCGTTATATCCACGAAGTTCTAGAACCCCATCTTTTACCCTATCTTGACACCCTGGCAGATCCAACGTTCCAACAAGATAATGCCCGACCACATGTTGCAAGAGTCACAATAGACTTCTTTCAACATAATGATGTCACATTGTTACCATGGCCACCAAGATCTCCCGACTTATCCCCAATTGAGCACGTGTGGGATATGATGGGTAGGAGATTGCTCAATTTGCAACGTCCTCCTCAGACTCTAGAAGTACTTCGAGAGGAGTTGGTGGTTGCCTGGAATGAGATACCACAGGAGGACATTGACCACCTGATCAGAAGCATGCTTAGGAGCGTTAGAGAATGCGTAGCTCATCAGGGTGCATCCACACATTATTAAAGGTCAAAGGGCTTTAGAGCAGTGCAATCATTTTTAAATTTTTATCATTTACTTATTATGCTTCATTAAGTACTTATACAAAATTTTATTAAAATAAAACCATTTATACTGGGTGTTCGGATTTATATGTCACTTAGTATATTACATTCAGTATGCATTATAAAAATAAACCGCTCTGTATGGTGCAAAATATGCCTGAATCGTGCTCTCACATTCAATGAATGGAAAATTATCTCGGACCCGAGATATCCAGAACGCGCCTATCTAAAGAGTAAACAGTAAGTAAAAGAATAATCCTAGTTCGAATTTTATTTAATCTAAAATCAGAGTATGAGGGAATTATGCTTATTTCCCTGTCAGTGTATTCTAAAAGAATATAGCGTTAAATTATTATTCAGCGTGATCTTAAATTAAGTCAAAAGTTTCCATTTTCTTCGCCAATGTATACAGGGTGTCCCGAAAAAAGTGTGCAATATTCTACCAGCGGTTTCTAGAGCTTAAAATAGGAAGAAAAGTTTATATAAACATAGGTCGACAAACGTCCCCTAACGGCGCTACGGTCGTTTAAAAGGGCTTCCCTGAAGATGGTTTTTCCTTAATATTTCCGAAACGTATTGAGATAAAGACATACAATTTGGTATGCTAGCCTAGTTTCTTATGCTGGATTTAAAAATATTAACAATTTTAGACAGCTTTGTTTGGAAGCGTATGTAACAGGGACGGACTCAGGTTATTTTAGCCCCAAAATTTTTGTGTGATTCTATTTTTAAAATTCAATTTTAGGATTTGAAAATTTAGGGTTTTCTACATAAAAAGGTACTCTTACTGAATATCGATAAATTGTGCCATTTTTTAATAAAATCAAACTAAAAAATTTGTCACATGATAGGAAATGTACTGTTATTGATAACAGTACCTTTTTTATGTAGAAAACTCTAGATTTTCAAATTTTAAAATTAAATTGCAAAAATAGAATCACACAAAAATTTTGGGGCTAAAATAACCTGAGCCCGTCGCTGTTACATACGCTTCCAAACAAAGCTGTCTAAAACTGTTAATATTTTTAAATCCAGCATAAAAAACTAGGCTAGAATACCAAATTTTATGTCTTTATCTCAACACGTTTCGGAAATATTAAGGAAAAACCATCTTCAGTTGAGCCCCTTTAAAAGACCGTAGCGCTCTTAGGGGTCGTTTGTCGACCTATGTTTGTATAAAGTTTTCTTCCTATTTTAAGCTCTAGAAACCGGTAGAATATTCATATTTTAGTACAATTTCATGAAAAACTTTTTCAATTCGTACGGTAATTAGGAAATGTATGAAAGACAGAAGGAAAATTGGTGGTGAAATGGTCAGTTGCCTCTAAAACTTCAACCACTGTACTTATTGACATATGTAATATACGAGTATAAACAGATCCTAGAGAAAATGTGGTTTTTGATAATGACATTGCTGATTGACAACTAGAACCACACCACAGAGAGTCAAAACCAGGGTAAGGAAACATAATTTTGATTTGCCCAAGTCAAACCATGGTTACACTCAAAAAACCAGATATGCAAATTAAAGCCAATGATTGTCACCTACCTCCCCCCCCCCCATCAATCACTAAAGTCAAGTAAAAAATGGAAAAGTTATGACGCCAGAACTTGATCAACATTTTGCTTGTTGGGTTTATTTTGTACCTGAGTGTGAAAACAACGATGAAAGTTCGAAAAGGCTTCAAAATTGGTTCATTCGTCTTTGGCAGAACGTTTTTATCTCACATCGATGATTTTCCGCGCACTTTTGTAATTTGTTGCTATACAACATGATTGTTTGTTAATTATATTGTTTCAGTTCGTACCAACGTATACTTTACCAGTATTGAAAAGAGGAGTACCCCCGGAATGCGCTGAAGATACCGAAAAGCTGTTGCAGCTCTTGGCAACGGCCAATGATAAGGATAGTCCACCACGAAGAGCGATACCGGGTGTTTTAGTCTATCCCTTGGCGAAAATAAAAAGATTCGTTTCAGGAAGTACAACAGTATCAGACTCTTCAGATGCTCAGCCGACGTTTTATGCTTTAGACCGAAATGTGAGTACTTTAATAGCTTTACAACATGTTATCACTAACACTGTATCAACCATATTGAGCACACAATAGTACATATTTATAAAAAAAAGTTTTACCTTTTGCTTTGAAAAAATGAAGCAATTCCTTGAAAGTATATGCATAAAAAGGAGTGAAGGAAAACGTATCGCTTCTGTAAAGTAAAAGGTGTTAACGTTCTCTTATTTATAAAAAGCATCATTTGCTTAAAAACTAAAGGATTTGCTTTTAAAAAAAGGATTACAGGTTATTTTTTTTATTTTAATCTAGGATTACTTATTAGTCATGGACCATTTGACAAAAATTGTGAAGTATTTAAAAGGAAAATTGAACGTGAGAGGGAAAAAATTAATTATGCAAATGAATAGCAACTACTAAGCTCAGATTTGCAAGACGTGGCTAAATCTGTAAGTGATGAATATAACTCAATATACCATTTAAACATACAAGGAGTCCTGAATAATATAGATGAAGTTCAACAGTTTTTAAGACGGAGAAAACCACTTGTATTATGTCTTACCGAAACACATGCTACAGAAGACATCACTGATGGTGAATTACAAATTACTAATTATAAAACCTACAGATGCAACTCCAACTCCAGACATACTGGAGGTGTAGTGATTTATGTTTACCACAAAATACAGATCACATTATTCGATTGTACCACTTTAGACTATGCATACTGGTATGCACATATACAGTTCAAATTATTTGGGAAACGTTATGATCTTTGTACTTTTTACCGTTCACCAAACAGTGATGCAGATACATTTTTAACGTTTTTTGAAGAAAAATGCGAAGAAATGTGGAATTTTAGAAACAATATAATACTTTTAGGTGATTTTAATTTAAATTATTATGGTAAAAGCATGAAAACAAGAAAATTGAAAGAAACCATAAACAACTATGGGTTCAAGCAAAAAATTGAAGAGAGTACCAGAATAACATCATTATCAGAGACTTTGTTAGATCTTGTTATTGTAAATTTCGAATGTGCAGGGATTAAAGCTGTACATACACCTAAAGTTAGCGGTCACAGTTGGACAATGCTGCCCTTAGTAGGGCATTTTTCTGATACAAAAATTAAGAAAATCGTAAATACTATTAAGTACGAAAAACTTGAACGCGAACTTGCTGGCTGCTATTGGAATTTTGGTGAGAATATGGAAAAAATATATGACAACATAATAGGAAATATAAAAACTTGTTTAGATCTTGCAACTGATAAAAAAGTGATTTGCTCGACAAAAAATACACCCTGGTATAACAAGAATATTAAGGCAGCTCAAAATTTGAGAGACAAACAATACAATAAATGTATATTCACAAAATCAAATGATGATTGGGAGGTATATAAAACTCTTAGGAATAAATGTGTATATGTAATTAGAGAAGAAAAAAGAAAATTCTACGATAAACAAATCGATAATAACAAGTGCGACAGTTAAAGATGTGGAAGACTTTAAAAAGACTGATCAATTCGAAGCCGCATGATTGTGTAAATCAAGTTCAATTCGAAAACGGTACCGAAACAAATTCTTTGGTGATTGCAAACAAACTAAATGAATATTTTGTGGAAAGTATTGTTGATATTGTAGGTACTGCCAATGCTGCACCTGACTATATGAAAATCAGTTTCCAGGGGGAAATGTTGCATACACTTTCAAAATTTCACAGCGTATCATTGAATTATCTAAGAAAAAAAGTAAACAGTTTAAAATCAAATAACAACTGTGCCGAAATGACTACTAAAACGTGCTGAAAAACTGTTTCGAAATTTTGGGATATCCTGTATTAAATTGGATCAATTGTTCACTGAGAAGCAGTTCTTTCCCTGAAAATTTGAAATGCTCTACAATAACACCAGTTCCCAAAATAAAAAATTCTAAAAGATGCAGCGATATGAGACCAATAAATGTGTTACCAGACATTGAAAAATTATTAGAGTCCATAGTGCATGAATTTTAGTGGAGGCGCAAGCAGGCTTTCGAAAAAAATATTCCACAGAAACAGCTATTCCAGTTGGTAACTAAGAATTGGAGAAGAGCCATAGACTCAGAAGAAGTTGTCATAGCAGTATTTTTGGATTTGAAGAGGGCATTTGAAACGATTGATAGAGATATTTTGTTAGGTAAATTGAAGGCATATGGTATAACAGGAAGTGTTTTAGATTGGTTTGGAAATTATTTGTCTAAAAGGATGCAAGTTACAAAAGTTAATGACACTATTTCATCAAAAATTGAAAATACGTTGGGTGTTCCACAGGACAGTATCCTGGGACTACTTCTTTTTATTTTATACATAAATGATTTACCTGCCATAGTCAAAAAATGCAAAATTCAAATTTTCGCCGATGACACTATGATTTATATAAGTACTAAAAATATTCAGTGTGGTATCTCTTATATAAATGAAGACTTGAAGCTTGTCTCAAAATGGTTAGCATCTAACAGACTAAAATTAAATACAAGTAAAACGAAAGCCTTGTTAATCGAAAAAAAAACAATGTACAAATGTTCAACTGAATATTGATGGTGAAGATATTGATATCGTAGAAAATTTTAAATACCTGGAAGTTTTTGTTGACTCTCGATTAATTTTTGATATTTATTATGAAAAAGTTATAAATAAGATTAGTAGTAAAGTGGGATATTTATCGAGAGTTTCTGGATGTCTGAGTTCATATAGCAGAAAAATTATCTATTATCATTCTTCCAAATTTCTTGTACTGTTCGACTATTCTATATTTAGCAAATAATTCCATTTTTGAAAGACTGCAAATTTTACAAAATAAGTTCATGAGAATAATACTAAATAAAGATAAATATACTCCAATTAGGCAAGTGCTTAGCAAATTAAAATGGCTCAATGTAAAAAATGTTATCAAATATCTTGTAATGATATTCATTTATAAAGTAAAAAATAATATATTTCCATCAAGTCTAACTAATTTAACATCATCAAATGTCGACCATCATTTACATAATACCAGAAATAAAGATGACTTCCATTTAATGACCAAAAAGTATAACATATGCTACAAATCTGTATTCCAGCTTGGGTTGATTGAATATAATAAATTATACTCGGAGATAAAAGACCAGAAAACTTTGACAAAATTTAAAGTAAAATTGAGAAATCACTTGTTAAATCTACAATTATAGGTTGCCCAGCATTTACATCATACACCATATGGCTTGAATTTACTAGTTCTAAGTTGTTTACAATTGTTCTGTTTATGTAGCCAAATGTGCTAAATAAATCTTTCTACTACTACTACTACAGCAACTTTTCTCATTTTATCATTGGTTGTCCCAACATCGTAGTGCCTGCATCTTAAAATTTGTGCATTTTCGTTTAATAAAATCTATTTTTAAGGGCTTGTTTAAGTGATCTTTGGTTGATTAGTCGCAGTATTGTGTTAGTTATGGCTAATGTGGTGCATTTACGTAAAAGAAAATACTACAAACCAAGACGTACACCTCGTGAGTCAGTTTTCAAGACGTTGTTTAGATTTGAGGAGGAAAATGTGGTGTGGTTAGCAAATTACTTTCTTGGCATGGATTTCGCAACGCGTGGAGCAGCTCAGTCACCTTAGCAGAAAATATTTCTGCGGCACTGTGCGAGAAATGGTTGGCCAGGTTCCGTTTTTCCACAGCTATTGGAGTTATCGACTGCACGCATATTCGTCTTGATGGAAAACCAGCCCAATTTGGAGACGAATATGTAAATCGAAAAGGTTTTGCCAGTATTAATGTACAGGTTACATGCGACCAGAATTATGTTATAACTAGTATAGATGCAAGTTAGCCTGGATCAGTCCATGATGCTCGCATATGGAAAAATTCGGCAGTGTCATGAAAAGACAAGAAACACTATTCTTCTAGGGGACAGTGGGTATGGTATAATGTCATGTCTTATGACTCCTTACAAGGACCCCCACGAGGAATGTCAGAAAGTCTTTAACAAAGCGGCGATTTCCTATCCTGGAGTATGGATGCAGAGTAAAACTGACCAGTATTCCAAAAGTTATAATTGCGTGTGCTGTGTTGCACAATATTGCTAAGCAATTAAGAGATGAGGATTTTCAAGAAAATGACAAAGATGAAGAACAGGACTTGCCATTTATAGAGAAATGCACAAGGCGAGAGGAATTAGCTCGTCTTATTACCAATAACAATATAGGTTTATAATTAGGATTAAAACTTTCATGTAATGTTATGTATATGTCGCTTACTTCAAACGTACAAAGATGTATTTGCTTAAACTAAAAATAAACTTATACGTTTGAACTGGAAAAAAAACTTTATTTTTTTGTTATAAGTGATACATATTACATATACGTCTATTTACAAGTTTTGGTAAATATTATCTCCAACAACAACATACTCTTGCGGGGCTTTTTCGTTCGATGCCTCGTTTAAATTTTTTAGCTTGGCAGAGTAATATTGTTGTTGGAGACGAGTTGTTCAACTGAAACTAATCGTTGAAGCTGGGTTGTCGTTAACTGCCTCGTCTCGTCAGACTCTTGTTTGCCCGAAGCAAAGGTAGGCTTCGGAGGAATTTTTTTGCAGCAACCTCTTCAACCGATGTGTAGAATCGCTTTTTGTTAGCTATTACTTGAGGAATAATCATCTGATGAGCGTCGTTTTCCACTATAATGTCATCCTTTGAAGTAGTTAAAGAAGGTTGACTTGCCACGCCAATTGCAAGAGCCCCTAATAAAAATGTACATGCATGATAAGTACCTACAAGGTAACAGTAAAGACCTGAATCTATTTCTCACCTTAGTACAGGATTTATGTCCGCATCCATCGCCTTTAACATAATTGTCTCCCAGGACAAAAGTCGAATGAGCCTGTTCTCTGTTTTATTTTTGTCAGTTTTATTTTTCAGTCGCGTTTTTTCCATTTTTTTTCCTAAGACTTCAAGACCCCGAGTTTTTGTAAGGAAACATTTTTGGACCATAGTTTATGAAGCAAAATAACATTAATTTTTCATGTAGATCCACATCCTTAACTATTCGCATATCTTTAAGGAACACCCTGTATATTATAAGTATTACATACTATTTTTGTGGAATATGTACGAAGACTATGAAAAGCCCTTTTCATGTAATCTTTTGTCAATTTTTATTTCATTCAACTTTTTCAATTACTTCATCATTTATCTTAACTGTGACAGATTTTTCATTCAAGCATTACCCTATTAGCATACATTTTGTTTTAGAAGTATTCAATTTTAGTTTATTTACATTTAACCAATTTACGATTTTTGCCCAAGTCGGAATTTAGCATTTTTAAAGCAGTGTCTATATTTTCATCTGATTCGTATATTAATGTATAATCTGCAAATATCTGAATTTTACAATCTGAAATATCACAAATGTCATTAATCTATAAAATAAATAGTAGTGGACCTATACTACAACTATTTAAAACTGTAATGACTCATACGCGTGATCAACACGTGATCAGAGCTCGATCCCGGCTTCCTTCCAGTACAGCCGTATAGCGTACGATATTTTTATGTCGTTTCTGTGGCTTTGCGGTGGTCAACAGCACAGACAGAGATGGAAATAATGGCTGATTGTTCTCCGCCGGTAGAACCAATGAAATCAAAGACGCGCCTCGACCGGCAGACTCATAGGCGTCGGCAACGCATTGGAACGTGTTTCGTTGAGCGATCGCATATTGTGTGTTTTTATAAGAATTGTTGTGTGATTGTTATTGTTGTGGTTCCTGTGGTTACTGTTTTGGTTATACTTAACCATGGAGAGTACAAATGGCACGAGTGGAAGTACTGAATGCCAGGGAACAAGTAGACGGCTTCGTAAAGCACTGAAGAGGGACGCGAAAATAATCGTGCTCAACGTGTTCAATTATCTGAACAGAACTATGTCGCAGGGATATGCACTCGCGCGTTGTGAAAGTATGACAGGCGTTCCAGAGTGGACCATTCGCAGGGTGGTGCATGAAAAGAAGAAAACTGGAGCTACTACTGATACAAAGTTTAATTTGAAGGGACGAAAGGCCGTTAAATTGGATGACGATAGCAAAATGGCGTTAAGGCGAACCGTAAATTCATTCTTTTTTAGGAATGAGATACCAACCCTCAAAGCTGTACATGCAGCGATCAAGGAAAATGAAATTATACCCCAAATGAGCGTCGAGGTAATGAGGAAATCCCTGCACGAAATTAATTTTCGTTTCGAAACGCGTAATCGGAAGTCAGTATTGATAGAGAGACCTAAAATAGTCGCCTGGCGTCGAAAATACCTACGCGAAATGATTAAAAATAGGCGACAAAGCTGAAAAATCTATTATTTGGACGAGACATGGGTAAATGCAGGTCACACAGTTAAAAAAACCTGGATAGACAAAAACGTAGTGAGTAACCGACAAGCAAGCATTGAAGGTTTGTCAACAGGTCTTCGTGGACCGTCAGGGAAAGGTCAAAGATTGATCGTAACTCATATTGGTAGCGATAGTGGCTTTTTAGAAGAGTGTGACTAGATTTTCGTCTCTAAGAAAGGAGGTGATTACCATGATGAAATGAATGCCAGCTGCTTCGAGAGCTGGTTTCAAGGGGTGCTTCAGCGAGTTGAGCCCAACTCTGTGATCGTCATGGATAATGCTTCCTACCATAGTCGTCGAGCCGAACGTGTACCGACTATGGGATCTCGAAAAAGTGACTTACAGCAATGGTTGCGCAAAAAAGGAATCCCGTTTGACGATTCATGTGTGAAAGCGGAATTGTATGAAAAAATTAAACAGCACAAACCTGCGAACATTAGTTACGTGACTGATGAGATGGCCCGTCAATGTGGTGTCACTGTGCTGCGGTTACCGCCCTACCACTGTGAACTGAACCCAATAGAGCTCATCTGGGCTCAAGTGAAGGGTTATATTGCGCGCCATAACACAACCTTCAAATTACCAGACGTTAAGGTTTTACTTGAGACTTCCATACAGCTAGTAACGCCCGAAGCTTGGCAGAATGCTATCCGTCATGTTGTGAAGGAAGAAACAAAAATGTGGCAGCTTGACCACCACATCGACACCATCATAGAGCCAGTTATAGTCAATTTCAACGAGGAAAGCGATAGCGACAGTTTATTACTGTCAGATGTAAGTGGAAGCGACGATGAATAAAGGTAATTCCCAAATTTTTGACTTACAATATGTTTCAAACCACTCTTTATTAAGCATGTGACAAATCTAGTTCACCCATGTTAAACATTCATACCCCGCCTATGAACAGCCGACTACTGGTAGTTAAGTGATGTTCACGTGAACATCGATGAGTCATTACAGTTTTAGATAGTTATAGTATAGTTTACGGCCTTGCGGTACACCAACAGAAATATTTTTAAGCTGAATCATGTAGATCAAATTTTTAGTTTTGTTGTCTTCTGTCAATTAAACTAACAACTCTAGATGGCCACTTAGGGAACAACCTGGGCTTAAGTTTAGAGATCGAGCAGACCAAACTACAACCATTCTGAGATTGCTGGGCGTGAAAGATATAAAGGACAAAATAATAAACCAAAGAAAAAACCCTGCGTACGACTGATTTCAGATATTAAGGGAACGAGCACCAAAAATCCTAAAGAAAGAGGTACCTCCCGAATGCCTGAAAGACACCGACCAGCTACTGAACATGCTAGCAAACGCCATAGATGAAAACTTGACATCCACCTCAACAGACGAAGAATCTACCGAATCCAGCGAAAAAACTACAGAACCGGAAAACACGACAGGAGAACAGGAAGGTTCCACGTCGAACGATGTAGGTACCAGCTCTGAAATGTTTGATCTGAAAGACTTGAATATCAATTTGGAAAGCGGGGGTGGATTATCAGGTGGTGAGATTGCACCACTTGGAGGACTTGGAGGTGATACTCTAGGCGGAGCAGGCATAGGTTTACCAATCGGTGAAACATCAGGTACGAATAATAGTAATAATATAATGTTTATTGTCACAAAGTACAACTTCTTGCACAACAAACATAAAGCACCTAAAAAAGTTTGCACCTGTGCTTGGGTTTGTTAAACCTAAAAACTAAAAGTACAATAAATGACTGAAAAGTGTAAATATCTCCTAAATAATTTGGTAAATTGAATTATTATGGGAACGTCATAAAAAAATATCCAGACAATTATAACTAAGGTAAAAGAGTGACTGTTATTGTAGTAAGTAAAATATTATTGATCTTGATAATGATTTTTCATATCCACAATTTCGTGGATGGAGCATCTTGGTTGTTGTAAAATCCATTTTTTTAGCTCTTTCAATGATCTAATTGATTTAATTGCTTTCAATGACTGTGGTATGGAGTTATAGAATTTTGCTCCCAAGAAAAAGAGGGATCGTTGTGTAATGGTTTTTGATGTTCGAATACTCATCGAACATAGACTGAATTTCTGTAGTTACGAATGGTACGATTCAAGTGTTTCGAATGTTCAATATAACATACTAGACCACAATAATAATAAATTTGTCTGCAATCCAATAGTTGAGCCTCTACGAGGGATGTCTTTTAAGTTTTGCATAGAGAAACATAGAAGGCCGCGCGGATCGAACGTCAGTACTGAATCTTAACCTCACTCTTTAGTAAACTTAAATTCGATGTTTCACAACAATACGTGAATTTTTAAGTGTCACCGAGTCATTAGAAAAATAAAACTCAACCGAGAACGTTTTCGTGCCATAATTTATTACAACTACAAGGCAATTATCGCAACAATAATGCCATGCTGAGTTACTGTCTGTTTTCGGCATCGAAGCGCCACATCAGTCGACAATTTCCTGTTGGTATGGAGAAATCAAACGTCTTAGCGACGATCCCAGGGTGGGTGCAGCAAAAACGACAGTCACCCAGGAAAACGTCGATGCTGTGCGCAAACTCATCATTGAAGATAGACATGTGACATATCGCGAGAGTGAGGCGTCCTTGATGATCTCAAAAAAATTTACATGAATTAGGAGTAAGAAAATTAGTTTCTCGTTGGATACCTCACCTGTTGACTGAAGAGCAAAAAGCAGCCAGGGTTAAGCTTCCCACAAACCGGCGCGAAATATTCGCTTTGGCTGCGAAAATTTCGCGGCGATGAATTCGCGATCAGATTAAAACGCTGCGGTTTACGGACAGGCTCAGACTTGTGCGAAGCGAATGCGATTGTTCCAGCGTTTTTATCGCGGCGTATTTCAGTTCGCCTTTGACCGCGTTTTTGACGCCGTTCTTCAAAAATTCGCAATGGCAAAAACGGAATTATTGATAGAAATAGTGAAAAAGTATTCTTGTTTGTATGATTTGTCGAACGATGAATACAGGAATGTGAGAAAGAAAGACAAGATTTGGATAGAAATGGGAAAAGAATTAAATACAAATGGTATGTACCTAATATTTTTTATTAACTTGTTAAATAATTTACAGTCTACACAAATGTGAAAACGAACATTCTATATATTGGGTATAGGCATATCAGAATTAAAATAATTTACGAATTTGTCACGAGTAGAAAATGCTAGCCTTGCTGCCCGCCGAGGATCATTTGCTATATCAGTAAAAGCTCCAAGCACGGGTTCTGGGGGATCTAAGAATTGAAAATATTTGTCATCACCACTTTTACTTCGTAAAAAATTGTGTAAAACACATGCCGTACGTACAATTAGAATAGTAGTATCTACTTTAGTTTCTAATGGCCTGTAAAATATTCGCCATTTTTGAGACAAAATACCAAACGCATTTTCCACGACCCTTCTAGCTCGACAAAGTCTTACATTGTATTTCTCTTTTCTGACGTCTGTTAAAGTCTGCTTATAAGGAAATGGTCTCATAAGGTATGGTTTTAAAGCAAATGCTTCATCACCAATTAAGACGTACGAGCAGATTTCATTTTGCCAAGGGAGAAATCTAGGTGCAGGGACACTCATTAAATTTTGTTCAAATTGTTTTCCCATGTTTGAGGTTTCGAAAATACCCCCATCACTATTTTTTCCGTAACCACCAATATCAACACATATAAATTTATAGTCCGGGCCAACAATGGCCATAAGTACTATTGAATATTTATGTAAATAGCACCAGTAATTGGAGCCACTGTTGTTAGGTCTCTTGATTGTTACATGTTTACCGTCCACGCTGCCAATGCAATTGGGAAATCCCCATCTATTTTCAAATTCTTCAGCATATTTTTTCCATATATTCTCTGTTGTTCTGGTAAATATATATGCTCCATATGTCTGCATATCGCTTCACAGACTTCGGTTACGATTGCACTCACTGTTGTAAAGCCAACTCGAAAGCTATGCCCAATGGTATAGAAGGTGTCACCAGTGGCAAGGAATCTATAAAAAAAATCGTTTTTAGGTGATGAAGTAAGAAAAAGGTGGAAGAATATCAGAGACACATTTGCAAAATATATAAAATCTAGAAAACCAAAGACTGGCCAAGCAGTGGGCAACATAAAAAAATGGCACTGGGCTGACTACATGGAATTTTTCCGTCCTTTTTTGGCATTTGCCAAAACGTCGTCTAATGTGAAAGATATTGACGTCATACATTATGAGACTGCCGAATTTAACTCAAATATATATCAGGAAAGAGCTGGAAATGTAGAAACCGAAAATTTGGAAGACCGCGGCCATGGAGAAGATGAAAATGCTGATGTAGATGCAGAAGATGCACAGAACGCCTCGGCAACACAGACAGCACCACCTTCTTCATTGAACACTACAGCAGTGACTACTCCAGGGCACACCTTTCCGCAGACTGCAACTACACCAAAATATAAAACGAGCAGAAAACGCTATGAACCACCATCTTCGTCTGTACAACAGCTCATTAATTATTTTGAAGGTAAAAAACCTAAAAAAGAGAACGAGGCCATTGATTCACTTTTCTTGGCAGATGCACAGACTGTGAAAACACTTCCCTTAAAGCGTCAAGCCCGAATAAAACTAAAAATAGCCGAATTAATAGCGCACGAAGAATTTGAACATATTGAAGAAATGTCTTCAGCGTCTACCCAGAATTCTGCAAGTATGTATGATAGTAGTATGTCGTCCTTCCCAAGCGGCACTGGGTTTACTCCAATAATATACCCAACAGAGGAGGCAAATTCTGCCTCGAATTATTTAGCAACATTTAATCCTAGTGGCAACATGTAGTCCAATTATTACAATAAAATATTTATTTCACGATCCCTGAAGTTTTCGTATTAGATAAGCCTACTAATTTTAATACATATAATTTTTTTACCTGAGTGTAATAGCAAGTCGTTCTTCTGGCGAAATAGCTTCACGATAATTTGTGTCAGATTTTCGTATTTCATCTTTCACCAAGTTCAATATTTCATCGAAACACTCTGGAGTCATTCTAAAATATACGTAAAAGCGCTGTTCATCCAGCCGAAGTTGTGGCATCAAGGTATGGTATTCCCCAAATTTATTTCGTTCCAAGTTAATATCATGTACCCACTTCATTCGTTTCCTAAACAAAATTGAAAATATTTGTTTTATGTACTTCGTTAAACTTAATACATACCCAACTATCAAATGGCGTTAAATAAACATAACTTACCGTGCATTTTGTTCCTCTTCTAAAGCAAGAAATAGAAGTGCCTCCTCTTCTTCTGAAGACGAGCTCATTGCAAAAGGCAAAAATAAAATGTACGCAACCTGTCGAAACCTTCACGTTCGCGGAGCGAATAAGACGCTTTGGTATGAATAAACAGGCGAAACAGATTGCGAATTTCGCTCTGAATTTCGTTGCGAATACTTCGCCGCGATTATTTCGCGCCGGTTTGTGGGATGCTTTTAATTGGTGTCAAAAAACGCTTGACCGTTTCAATTCCGGAAACTCAAAAAATGTGTACAGCATTATTAGTGGAATTATTGGACCATCCTCCATATAGTCCCGACCTAAGTCCTAACGATTCCTTTACTTTCCCGAAAAATAAAAACAGACTGCGTGGTCAAAGGTTTCAGTCACCAGAAGAAGCAGTTGACGCATTCAAAAATGCCGTTTTGGATCTGCCAGCAAATGGAATGAGTGGAGAATACTTCGAAAAACAATAAAGTCATTTAAAACTACCTACCGTGTTGTTTTATTTCCATATGCAAAACTTAAAAGACATCCCTCGTATACAGGGTGTTCAAAAAATGGACGGAGATATTTGAGAGGGTGATTCCTTGTTGAAATATGAAAAAAGTTTTTATAGACATGGGTCCGGAAATGCAGACTCTTCTTATCCCGAAAAGCAGCTGTCTGCCTTATTTTGTGACAATTCTTCTATTAGTCAAAGCATAACAATCAAATTACGACCCTAGGTGAATTTGGGCAACCATCAGAAGCAACACGGAGCTATGCAGAAATAACTGAAAACAACTTTGAACTCTACGAATCTGTGAAAGGCTCAGAAAATCTGCTCATCTCCACTAGAAATTCATTCAATCTTGGCACGATTGGTGTTGGAGAACCACAAATACAAGCCGCCAACATGGAGGGAGGACTAGCGTCTTTTTCTCTAAGTTCCAATGACCAATCAACGAGTTCATCTGACGTCCCTGTGGCTAGTTCTGCGGAACTCAGCACTGAGGCGAAGCCTTCGCAAATTACCAACAGCGCTAGAAGTAGCGCCACGACTCAGGAAACAGAATGTGTCACTGTTATGGCTTCAACTACTGCTGAGTCTGGTACCTCTTCTTCTTATCTCGCTGCTACAACAGCACTGGGCAGTAACAAAGATGACCACGTAGGAAAGAACATGACAAACGCAAGGCTTAAGCGCCTAGAAAAGGATCTGAAGTTGGTGAATGAAGTCGAAAAGATTTTGAAGGGAACAACTGGTAAGTAGTATAGTGGGTATTTCAAATTCGACCTTTACCTTTGGGATCTCGGAAACTATAAAAGTTGCGTATTTAGATAATCAAGTTTCTCGAAATCGTGTTATTTTTTCCAGGCTTCATTTATAGTGGGATTTTAAAATAAATTGCACATTAATAATTCAATTCAATTAAATGTATACTAAGTGACATATAAATCCGAACACCCACTTTAAATGGTTTTATTTTAATAAAATTTTGTATAAGTACTCAATGAAGCACAATAAGTAAATGATAAAAATTTCAAAATGATTGCACTGCTTTAAAGCCCTTTGACCTTTAATAATGTGTGGATGCATCCTGATGTGCTACGCATTCTCCAACGCGCCTAGGCATGCTTCTGATCAGGTGGTCAATGTCCTCCTGTGGTATCTCATTCCAGGCAACCACCAACTCCTCTCAAAGTGCTTCTAGAGTCTGAGGAGGACGTTGCAAATTGAGCAATCTCCTACCCATCATATCCCACACGTGCTCAATTGGGGATAAGTCGGGAGATCTTGGTGGCCATGGTAACAATCTGACATCATTATGTTGAAAGAAGTCTATTGTGACTCTTGCAACATGTGGTCGGGCATTATCTTGTTGGAAAGTTGGATCTGCCAGGGTGTCAATATAGGGTAAAAGATGGGGTTCTAGAACTTCGTGGATATAACGCTGCGCGTTCATGTTACCTCTGATGAAGATTAAAGGTGACCTGGAACCATAAGCTATAGCACCCCAAACCATAACTCCAACAGTGTGATGAACATGTCGTTCAACAAAAAACTGTGGATTCCTCCTTTCACCACGTCGCCTTCTAACCCTGGCACGACCATCGTGCATGCCTAAACAAAATCGAGACTCGTCACTAAAGACAATACTGTTCCATTCCTGATCCCAGAGTGACCGTTGTCTGCACCACTCAAGGCGATTACGTCGGTGTTCTCGAGTTAAAGGGAGGACCCAGTGTGGCCGATATGAAAACAAGCCAAAACTTCTCATTCGTCGATAATCTTAGGCGGCGATCTTCACGGCCTGTTGTGCTACGTCGGCGTCCAGTGCCCCTTGCTCTTTGCGTACGGCCTTCTCGAAGCCATGCCTGACAACACCTTACCACAGTGTCTACACTTCTTTGCACTCTAACTGCAATTGCCCGAAAAGAAAGTCCAGCTTCCCGAAGTCCCACTATACGGCCCCTATCAAACTCACTAAGTTGACGAAATCGTACAGGTATCCGTACTCTAGGCATCGTAACCGATCGTAAAGGATGTCAAGAACCAAAATCCGCCAACGTTGATTCTTTACTGCGGCTGAAATATTCATTTTTAGAGCGTTAGTGAATTAAAAAAAAAGCAGTATAAAAACCGGAATGTCCAACTGATAAGGCTGAAAATTTTTTCACTTGTTATTTACAGTAAGATAAATACATTCACCAAGTTTTATTAAAATAAAACCATTTAAACTGGGTGATCGGATTTATATGTCACTTAGTATATTATCCATCGACAGACATCTCTGTATAGGGATGCTGAATACAATAAATTTTAAGACTAAGAGGTAATGAGATTTCCTAGTAAAAAAAACAAAAACTCCGATAGAGTATAAAAACATTTCTCCAACAGATAACTTCTGAGTTCTTTCTTAAACGATTTCCTACTTATGTTTACTTTCACTATAGTTGTATTGCATCTTTCAGTTGGAACCAGCAATGAATTCATTTGCAAACATTAAAACATGTTCTGCTCTATAAGATGGTATAATTAGAATTTCAATATAACCTTTCGTCTCGTCCTCCAGCATCACCACTTTATTTTTTCTTATGGACGCCATATTGAAATTTTGCGCAGATGGATAGAGTTTTCAATTCTGATTTCAATAGTAAATGAAATATCATACACTGGTATTCCCAAACCTTAGTTATTCCAGAGTATCAGAAGTTTCTAGGTTGGCCTTGAAATTATCAGTCATTTGTTTGGTCTACCCAGACTTTAAATTGAAAATAGTAACAGAGTTTGGAATGCTGTGAAGAAGAGAAATAAATCGAGCAGTAACCAATATGCAGAGAAGGGTCAGGCTTTGTCTACAAAATAACGGACAACATTTTGAACATCTGCTTTGATTCATCTCTAGTTGCTTATGATTACGAGCCCCTTTACACTTCAGTTGGCCCAACTATTGAAATCTTAGTTTTTTTCTTATCAAACACAAATAATAAAAATGCAGCAGGGTGCTATAGGTTTAAAATATTAACAATGAATATTTTGATAATATATATATAGTAGAAAACACCAACTTTATCACTCCCTAATCAAATTTGCAGTATAACAATAACACATGTTGCAATTACAGCATACCAACCTATTTTCATTTCAATGCAAAATAAGTCTATAACGCATAGGTGGCTGTGAAAAATAAAAGCCATGACAATTGTTTTTATTAATCACAGCTGTCAGATTACGTTTAAAATAGTTTTGGGTAGGTAAGGTTTTCAAAATGGGTAGAGGAAAGGTTATTAGTGAAAAAATTCGGTTACTGATAATTAAATTTTTTAATTCTGGGAAATCAAACTCAGAAATTGCAACTTTGTTTGACTTATCGCGGTACAGTGTGAGAAATATAACGTAACTGGTTCAGTTTATATTAAGCCACGATATGTGAAAGAAGTAACATCCCACATGCAGACCGAAGAGGATTAAGAAGAATAATAGTGAAAAACAGGCGTGCCAATTATTTACAAATTAAGTGCTCTGTGGAGTGACGCTGTTGGAAGGAGAATTTCGAGGTCCACAACTCATAGAGAGGCTTACAAACTGGGATTTAGCACTTGCAAGGTAAGTTCTTATAAAAAAAAGTGAAGTAAAAACCCTAAAGTTGCTCAACTTGTTTATAGGTCAACGAAAAGCCACTATTAGTTCCACTGCAAAAGAAGAATCGGCTTAGATGGGCTAAAGAACATAGACAATGGACACCTCAACAATGGTGTGCAATACAATGGAGTGATGAGGCTCGATTCGAAGTTTGTGTTTTGTGTTTGTGTATTCCATGTTGACTGTCTGAAGAGAAAAGTAAAATGTGCAGCATCCATTATGGTCTAAGGCAGTGGATCATCAAAAGGAGTAGGAAAACTTAATTTTATTGATGGAAAGGTGGATACAAACAAATATTTGGCAATTTTAGAAGAATCGCTTTTACCAGTGATGGAAGAATGTTTGACATCCGGCCAAGATTTTGTGTTTCAGCAAGATGGTGCAGAGTGCCATACCTCAAAAAAGGCTATAAAATGGATAGAAGAAAATAATGTACCACTTTTGAAATGGGTTTCTAGCAGTCCAGATCGATCACCTATTGAAAATTTGCGGCACGAGATGAAAAAGGTTCTACGACAACATCCTGCTCGTACAATCACCGAACTGAGACAAAAGCTTCAAGAAATATGGGATTGTTTTACACCAAATTTTTGCCAAAACTTGGTTAACACTATGCCCCAAAGAATTTCAGCCGTAATAAAAAATAAAGGTGATGTTACCCAATGGTAATCTTTCAATTGTTGCTTTGTTAACTTCGCGCATTTATTCGCACATTGTTTATTTGTTCAGATGTTCTATTAGTTATAGGTCTAAGTTATTTCAAATATGTATTTTTTACGACCAGAGTGTATCTAAAATGTTTTTGATAAAATAAATTGTTTTAGAAGTAAATAGTTTCGTCATGTTTAGTTTATAAAGGCATATTTTGGTACAAATCTTGAAGTGGGCCAACTGAAGTGGGAAGGGGCTCGTATTATTGTTATTACCATTCCCAATAAAATTTTCATTTCGCGTTCCGGTTTCATCATACCTTTTGATTTCCTCCTAGTTAGTCTTGTGCCATTTCTACTTTTTGGACCAGCTTTGCTTTAAAATAGTGGCTCTATACCAAAAATCATTATATGTCCTTAAAATGTAAAGCAGCGTACATGAAGATTACATATTCTAACCTTTCAGGGAGTAGAGATCCTCACGTATTACCTTGACACCCTGTAGTATGAAAGAATCATGTATGATCGCTGTGTCAGTTAGTCTGAATAGTTTTCTTATGACAATTCTCAAATGGCGTTACTGTCATTGGCACTTTGCTGTCATTAAGCAAGCAAAATGGTCTTGTCATCCTGATGACATTCGCAGAGCGACGAATCTCGTCCATGAAGTGAGAAATGCACTCCGTGAATTCCGCAATGAGCAGTGGAGCGGCTTTCTGTCGGGGATGCTTGAATCAAGTATTCCTCTCTGGAAACTGGCAAAATTGCTCAGAAACTGAAGGCAAGAACAACTACCGCATATTCATGGTCCTGGAGGAATAGTCTTCAGGACTGAACATAAAGTGGAGGTTTTTGTTGACGTCATGGCAAGGCAGTTCGCTCCCAATTATGATCTGGACAATGACCTTGACGAGGAACGACAAATTGTAAGATCTGTCAGGAGATACTTCAGAGTGAATGGCGATACCAACATCGGTGACTCCTTTTCAGAAGATTCTTCTACGGAAGACTCTTCAGATGAATCTCAGCATAGCACATCAACGGAATCCTATGTGATTCCGTTTTGCACACCAGCAGAGCTCCAAAGCCACATTAAGGACCTAAAGGTGCGGGGATCAAATCACCAACAAAGCACTGAAGTTGCTTTCGCTCAAGGCTTTGACTTATCTGGTGGCAATAATCAATGCAGTGCTCAGAACTCATCACTTTCCTAAGGCGTGGCAGGTCGCTGAAGTCATCATGATCCCAAAGAAGGCAGGTTCGATATTCCCCCAGGATTACCGTCCCTTTAGTCTGCTGTCAGCTCCTTCTAAGCTCGCTGGAAAGGTGATTTATCGTCACCTTGAGAATTTCTGGTCCGATCACCATGTGATTCCTGACGTGCAATTCGGCTTTCGGTCTGAGCATAGTACGGAGCTACAGGCAGTTAGACTGGTGGAGCATGTAACCAGGGGGTTCACCCTGAACGAAAGTACTGGTATCTTGCTTTTAGATGTATCAAAGGCATTTGACAAGGTGTGGCCTCTTGTATAAGCTCATCCAAAAGAGTTTTCCATTTTGGCTACTAAAACTGTTGAAATCTTTGTTAGAAGGAAGGAAGTTTCGGATCAAAATCAACAATGTGTTGTCAACAACAGTAAGAGCGGGTGTTCCTCAGGGTTTGGTCTTAGGACCAATCCTTTATTCACTTTATATACATGACGTCGCTTGCCCCAGCAACTGTGAAGTCTATCTCTATGCTGACGACACTGCATTGCTAGCCCAATCTTGTTCTAGTAACCTGGTTCACGACTGCAGAGTGCGGTGGAGGAAGTATTGGAGTGGGCGGATCGGTGGTTGATCAAAGTTAATACTTCAAAAACGCAAGCACTCTATTGTACTATAAAACGTCGCGGTGCCCCCTCAGAGATATCCGTGAATGGAACTCGTATACCATGGGAGCAATCTGTCAAGTATCTTGGAATCATCATTGACAGGGGGTTGACCTGGCAGAAACACACTGATATTTTGAAAATAAAATTCCAAGTTACCTTTCGGCAGCTTTATCCTTTGTTGTGCAGAAATTAAAATTGAGTTTGATCAATAAGATTCGGTTGTATGAAATGGTCATAAGACCCGCAATCACCTACGCATGCGCGGCTTGGTGTTTTCTTACCAAGACGCACATGCAGAGACTGCAAGTCCTGCAAAACAGAACCCTGCGCACAATTACTAACGCCCCTTGGTACGTGTCAAATGAGACCATTCACAGAGATCTTGATATCCCATATCTAACGGATTACATAAAACAGGCGCAGCGGCGTTATAATCAAGCGGAATCGCACAGCAACCCTCTGTTGCGCGATTCAGTAGACTACGCAGTCGAGCAAGTTCGATAACATTCCAGGCCGCGCCTCGCACTGTGATCAAAATTAAATTGTAAATTCAGACCAGCCAAAATTATTTCAGTATACAAAACCGATCAAAATTATTTTTTGGAGTTACAAAATAATTCGAGTAGTCAAAGCAATAATGCTTAAGCTATTTCAAATGATTTACTTTTCTTTGCTCTATTTCTTCCTTCCTTTTTTTCCTTCTTTCCCTTTTCACCTTAAATGTTTGGTATCTGGATAGCCAGACCTGACAGACTAACAGACCGACGAGACCTTTAACTAAGAGCAAAGGTCCACCGGACCGCTCTGATGAATAGTACAGTATAGATGCTGATCACATTTCCCAAATATCAAATAATTGTTTTTGAATGGCGGGGATGACGATGAAAGGTAGGATTGATGTTAACGTCTATCTTGCACCATACCAATTAAAGTATGTGTTCAAAATCGCCACTATTTTGTCTGCAAGAATAACCATTAGAGTACTCGGGACTTAGAAAGCAATCCTCAAGAAAATATCGGAGACACTCACCGTAGGTTATCCGCTATACGAGTGTGCAATCCTATTTGTAAACAAACAGTTTGGTTTACCTAAGCGATGCGACGGGTGGACTACTAACACGCGTCGTATTTTTGCCACATTAGCATTTGCTATGAGCAGACTGGTTATCTAAAGTATTTGGTTTATGTATTACAATCACATTTTTTTTATTTTTACATAGGTTGCCCCCAATTCCAAGAACTGACATTCTCAGGAAGTGTAAAGTTATACTTCTTTTCTCCCTTGATGCTATAAGTCAATCAAATTGACTGTACAATCAAGAAATATCCTGATTTCTTATTTTCGTCGCAGGTCCCAGACATAAGATTCGCAAGAGAGAGCTAGGTTCTATAGATATAGACGATACGTCTGTTGAAGAAACTGAAGCACCCCTTTTAGAAATAACGATTACTATAAATACTGAAAAACCGCAATGTCCAGAAGCAGTTTTAGACAAACCAACTAAAACGGTTAGAGAGATTAACCATCAGATGTTGAGGGGTCTCGGGAAACTGCTGAAATGGAAGAACTCGCATAACAGCAAGAGTCCTTCCAGGTTGGTGCATAGAAATAAGTTGATCAGCATTAAAATGCATACTCTTCAGTAAAATAAGCCTTAATACGATTGAAAGTGTAACATCAACTACAAAATTTGAGGAATCAAAAATACCACATAGGTAAACGCTAACGTCAAGATTAGTTGAAATTAGAGTCATTGACTTTTTATGACTCAAGTGCCAACAGCAGCGTTTAGTAGTAGTAGTAGAAAGATTTATTTAGCACATTTGGCCACATAAACAGAATAATTGTAAACAACTTAGAACTAGTAAATTCAAGCCATATGGTGTATGATGTAAATGCTGGGCAACCTATAATTGTAGATTTAACAAGTGATTTCTCAATTTTACTTTAAATTTTGTCAAAGTTTTCTGGTCTTTTATCTCTGAGTATAATTTATTATATTCAATCAACCCTTGATGGAATACATATTTGTAGCATATGTTATACTTTTTGGTCATTAAATGGAAGTCATCTTTATTTCTGGTATTTTGTAAATGATGGTTGACATTTGATGATGTTAAATTAGTTAGACTTGATGGAAATATATTATTTTTTACTTTATAAATGAATATCATTACAAGATATTTGATAAAAATTTTTACATTGAGCCATTTTAATTTGCTAAGCATTTGCCTAATTGGAGTATATTTATCTTTATTCAGTATTATTCTCATGCACTTAATTTGTAAAATTTGCAGTCTTTTAAAAATGGAATTATTTGCTAAATATAGAATAGTCGAACAGTACAAGAAATTTGGAAGAATGATGGTATTAGAGATAATTTTTCTGCTATATGAACTCAGACATCCAGAAACTCTCGATAAATATCCCACTTTACTACTAATCTTATTTATAACTTTTTCATAATGAATATCAAAAATTAATCGAGAGTCAACAAAAACCCCCAGGTATTTAAAATTTTCTACGAATTCAATATCTTCACCATCAATATTCAGTTGAACATTTGTACATTGTTTTTTTCCGATTAACAAGGCTGTCGTTTTACTTGTATTTATTTTAGTCTGTTAGATGCTAACCATTTTGAGACAAGTTTCAAGACTTCATTTATATAAGAGATACCAGCCTGAATATTTGTTGTACTTATACAAATCATAGTGTCATCGGCGAAAAACTGAATTTTGCATTTTTTGACTATGGCAGGTAAATCATTTATGTATAAAATAAAAAGAAGTGGTCCCAGGATACTGCCCTGTGGAACACCCAACGTATTTTCAATTTTTGATGAAATAGTGTCATTAGCTTTTGTAACTTGCATCCTTTTAGACAAATAATTTCTAAACCAATCTAAAACACTTCCTGATATACCATATGGCTTCAATTTACCTAACAAATATTTCTGTATTAATCGTTTCAAATACTCTCGTCAAATCCAAAAATACTGCTATGACAACTTCTTCTGAGTCTATGGCTCTTCTCCAATTCTCAGTTACCAACTGGAAAGCCATTTCTGTGGAATATTTTTTTCGAAAGCCTGCTTGCGCCTCCACTAAAATTTTGTTTTCTTTCATAAACTGCATTAATTGGTCCTGCACTATGGACTCTAATAATTGGTCAATGCCTGGTAACACATTTACTGGTCTCATATCGCTGCATCTTTTAGAATTTTTTATTTTGGGAACTGGTGTTATTGTAGAGCATTTCAAATTATTATATTATACTTCGAAGTTGAGTCATTTATTTTAACAGTGAGTAGATCTGATTAAAAGAAGTGTTTTTTCCTTTACCATTTTTCTGGTAAAATTAATGTAACAAAGTTATAGCCCTTTGGAGGTTTGAGTACCGCCCTGTCTCAATAAGAATATTATGTGCTCGTGTTTGGCAACAACGGATATAATCCGCCTTATCGGTTCATCGCATCGGAAACAAAAAAGCGAAAGAATTTGGAACGATGTTTTTACAATTATTCTATTCAGTTGTATACAGTCAGTGTCAGTCGGTAACGCGTGGTGTCTGTTGCGTGGCTCAAACGAAATCAAAAATGGCACATGTTTATGCGGATCGGTTTCCCAATCGAGTGCAACCAACCCCTCGTGCCTTTGTTAATGTAGTACAAAGGGCTCGTGAATCAGGTGACATGCCGGTGCTCCAAGACCGCACGATCAAATACAGGTCCGCACTGAAATACTTGTCGGGAGGATACTTTATAAAACAAGGTAAAATTTTTTTTTTAATTTTTGTTTTATTTTTACACACATATTTTGGTTTATCTTCCTTCTACAATCATTATCTGAAAATTAATGACTCAACTTCAAAGTCACCCTTGTATATATTACAAACGCGGTATATGTTATTTCCTAATTAATTTGAAAAAACCTTCAAGTAAATATATTGTTGATACAAGAGCCATCTCAAAAGACAAGATACAAAATATCGTCAAGTAGGTTGACTCAGCACCTTCCACGCAACGCTGTCACCAGTTCAGAAAGGATTAAGAACAGCACAATTTAAATCCACTGAGAAAAAAGTTAGTGCCTAATATGTACAATAGAGAAATTATCAGATCAAGTCAGTCAAACAGGCCGATTTAGTTAGTCCATCGACATTATTTCCCTACCTTACCGTCCCTCCTCCATCTGGCAACATTGCCCTTTCACATATCAAACGGGGCAGCGTCCACCGAAACACCGCCGCAGTACGATCAGAACAATGAAGCAGACCGTTTCGCCAGGCGCTGAGCCCAGATAGCAGAAGGAGACGCGAAGGGCGTCCAAAAAAATTTCTCCATCTCATTCTAAACCTTAAAGAAGCTAATATCTGTGAAATATAACTGATAGATGCGTAGAATGTTTGCAGGCTCTCTTGCAGTTAGCCCCCAAGGGTCTTGAGTATGCCTCGACAAGTAATGTGTCTGTCTCAATGTCAGTTGTGGATGATGATGGACTGTGACGTGGTGATGGAATGCCAGTCTACAGTATATTCAGATAAGAGATAGACCGGACATAAACAAGACCACGTGATCATCGAACGCTGTAACATTCGGCAGGGACGTATTAAGAGTCACATTTTAGATAGTAGATGCTGCTTTGCGTACCTTTGTAGTAAATTAGCACAATTCGATGTGTATACGATTGGTGATGGATATAGGATCATGTGGGGGTGGGGTAAGAAATATATAATGATGTAAATATACATAAGGGTTTCAAAATTTTCGCTTCGATTTCCAGCTTCGGATGCCGCCTGATGTTTGGTGAAATACAGTCGAATATAATCTCAAAATGGCGTTTAAATTAGCCTAAATTAAAAATAATCGTATATCTCTTAAAATTGCTTTTAGAATATTGATTAGTATATTTTTTGATTTATAGGTAAATATGTAACCAAATTAAAACGTTCAAAACGTAAAAAAATGTGCATGGTTGAACATTGTCAGAAAGTAGAATCTTGAATAGGTTTTGCCAAAATGGGTTCAAAAATGTCAATAATTAATTAAAAAATACAGTAGCTTTATAATTACTTATAACTTACCGAATTTGATGAACGACATCTTTTATTGGAAAGATGAGCTTGATGAGCTTTCATCATCGCTACTGCCTGAAGCACCAACGTCAATAATGAGTGGCTCGACTTGTTCCTCTAAAATATTGTCCAGTTCCCACATTCTCTTTTCAACTTTGTCTTTCACGTGCTTAATACAGTTTTCCCATTTTTGCGCTGTTATTAATTCTAGTGCTTCTTCCTTTGAGGTCACAAAATTTAAAAGTTGTATTGTGCTTAGCTATATAATTTTTAACCTCTGCCCATATGAGCTCAATGGGATTGAGCTCGCAATGGTATGGAGGTAAACGGAGCACAGTTTTATTTTGACTTGCTGCCATTTCGTGAATGGCGTATTTTTGATATTCCGCCTTGTGATCCTTGACAATTCTTAATAATTGTACTTTCAGCATTGCTTCTTCAAAGTTGATATTTTTTCGAGCGGAGCCAATTTTGAACATCAACTTTCCTTGAAGCCGTTGTTGGGACCTTCTCCATTCTTCGAGAATGATAAGGCGCATTATCCAACACAATTACTGCGTTTTCGGTAAAATTTTTGAAAACCACTGTTCAAACGATTCGCCATTCATTTCCTCGTGGTAATCTCCAGTTTTCTTAGACTCAAAGCACCACAGACCGTCAACAACAAATCCATCCTCACTGCCAATATGGCAGATAATGAGCCTTTTCCCTTTACCTGGAAATCGAAGTACTAACTGGTGTAGATTTATTTCAATAAGCGAACCTTTTTCAAATGTTTTGATCACATTCAGCGAAAAAACATTGAGACATGAGTATCAGATTGCTATAATTGGGATTATTTAGTCATATTGAAAGAAAGAATATTGAACGTCGTATGATTACTCAGCGCTTCACAATTTAATTTAAAGTTATAAACCTTTAAAAAATGAATGATCAGGAACCTGAAATACGCGCAAATATTAATATTAACAAATTATAACTTTATAAAGCTTAAAGTATGAATTAAAATGATTAGAAATATTAGGAACGGTACACAATATAAAACTTAGTAACTTTAAGTTTATAATATTCGACATATTTTAAGATTATATTAAAAAATTATTGAAATATCGAAAACACATAAAAACATGGTTTAAAAAAGTTCTAACAAATGAAAATGACAATAAAACATCCTCGCATTTTATCGACAGTTATAAAAGTTTTGTTACTTGTAATATGTTTTATCTGCCCCCTGGAATTAATGTTTAGAACCTTGTTCCCAAGGTTTGAAAAACATCCGATTGTTGTCTATTACTCGTATTTACCTGCTGGATTTTTTAATCCGGTGGACAGTCCATCTAGAAAGGCCCTCCTGGATGAAGTTACAGAATCATCAACCCATACTTTACTTGTAGTGTGTCCTGCGTTTACCCACGTTTCATCAAGGTAATAAATCTTCCTGTTTTGATTTCTATATTTCCCAATTTTTGTTAAATAATCCCTCCTCCATAGCACAATTTCTTCTCTATCCAGTAGTAAACTATTACGACCCCGTTTTTTCCATTTGGAATTTAAATGCTTCAGTAACGCATGGAAAGTTGATCGTTTGAAATTTGGCAACGTTGTATTTCCATTTACCTCCTGCAGTACTTTATCTATAGTAGGTATTTCATTCCTAAAGAAGAATCCATGCACTTTCCTCCTAATCGCATGCTTATCAGCTTCATCCAATGATTTAACAATACTTTTGCGATGTTTACTGGTCATTGGCTCAGAAAAGGTGTGATTTTTTTTGTATTGTCTTAACATATTAAACACTGATGCGCGACACACCCCAACTTTGTGAGAAACCTTCACAACAATTTCTTTGATGGTTGATGCCTCGTTCTCCTCGCGCTCGATCTTATATATATATTCAAAATGACCTCTTTCATTTCTGCACTCAGGTGTCTTTTTTAGAGCGTTTCCTAGGTGGACTACAGGAGTTTACAACTTCATCGGCAGTATCTGTACTACTGGGCATTTTGCGCAAGCAGTTGATAACAATAACAATCAATAACAAGGTATAACAAAAACAACGACAAACTCAACAACTTAATAAGATAACAAACGAAAACGTCCAAAGAAATATCAAATTGCAATGATGCACACGACATACGTAACACGTCTGAACCTGAATGTGACTCTGCCTTGATACGACTGCTCTGCCGCTCGGCATAGGCATTTAATTGCGAATTGACCAATGAGGGCTCCTGTTTTACGTCGAGACGGCGGCGTTAGCGTGAACATCACCCGAACCTTTTGTTTACATCCGGTCTATCTCTTATCTGAATATACTGTACAATAGATGATTCTGATATAATCAGTAAATCTATTTTTTCCAAAAAATGCGCATTACATTCAAAGCCCTGTACAACCTAACCGAAACGTGTAAACGCCGTTATATCAGTTTTAGTAACAGTACGAAGCATTCCGATATGATGAACGCGACATGTACAGGGTGTAAACGTTATCGTAGTCATTACTGAAATTTGTAATAGGGGTGTCAAACAAGTCAAAAAGTTCATATGACGCATGGTTCAAAAGTCAATAGATTTTTGTCTTAATGACTGTATAGTTTACAACTTTAAGGGCTTTATATCGACCACAATCTTACTAGTTTTTATAATCTAATCTAAAACGTTTTTAAATTGGGTAATTAACAAATAAAGTTTTCCTATGTTAAGTCAAAATTTGTAGTCAGTAAGTAAGTGAGTTTCATTAAATTATTTAAAACACACATGAGAACAGCGCGTCGGTCTTTCATCACTCTTATCGAACCGGCAATCGATCGCAAACTGTAACAGTGGTTAGTTATCGTTTTGCATAGATAAATTACTTTATCATGTCAGTGGTTTTTGCACATTGAACATTGAAAATCCGGATTATTTTGAAAACATGCTAGCGACAATCGAATGTACTTTTACGCGAAACGGGATATTAAATTTCCATAATACTCACACTTGAGCCCAAGAAAATCCTCATACCATTCGTGAAGGTCATTTCCAAAAAGGTTTTAAAATAAATATTTGGGCGGGTATTCGTGACGATCAGGTAACTGGCCCTTTTGAGTTACCCCAAAGTTGTCATGAGAAGGATACCTTAGCTTTATAGCCAATAACCTACCAGAACTTTTGGAACAGACCTTAGACAACATGCCATTACAACGGAGATACAATTCGTGGTTTCTTCATGACGGGGCACCACCACACATTTTTTGGGGCGTCATTCAGTACTTGAGTGAACATTATCCAAATCGCTGGATCGGTCGAAATGCTCCTGATCCTCGAAAATGGCCAGCAAGATCTCCTGACCTCAATCCGATGGATTTCTGGTATTGGGGAGAACTTAAAGGGATGGTTTATGGGGCTGGTCCAATAACAACTGAAGCACAACTTAATTTTTAATGCGGCTGAAATAATAAATGGCCAACTTCGAGGACCTAAAGTAAGAAGAAACTGGGTTCTTTGAATGAAGTAATGGTGTGGAAAGTGGAGGACGACATTTTGAACACCTTTAAATACAAAAGAGTGCTGTCTGGGTTTTAAAAAGAAAAACAATGTATGTATCAAAATTGTGTTCCCTATTTATAAAAAATAACAAACTCCATCTTTATTTACACTGCGTTCCGTACCATTGCGGCGTTCTCAGATTTTATTTTGCTTTAAAGTCGCTTTTCTCTAAAAAAATGCCGTGTTGACCCCCATGATATATGAAACTTTTTCCTTCTTTTAACCCCATCTATCACCCACTTAAATAATGACTACCATAACGTTTACACCCTGTATATCACTTTTTTATTTCAGGCCAAAAAGGAGCCGCATAAGGATGAAACGTAAACGGCGAAAGAAAAAGCATAGACACAAACCACCACATGAAAATAGGAAGAAAGATCATTTATAAAAGGAACAATGGGAAAAAGGAACCGTTTTTTAGTGGAGCGCCATCAAAATTTCTTGTAGAGCGGGAAAAACTATTTCAAGGACTAGCAGGAAGCACATATCAAAAAGAAAAACATATGTCTAATAGCATTAACCATAAAAGCAAGATATTACATAAGCGCCGAGCTAACTTTTGGGCTAATAAAGAAAATAATAGTGATCTGGAGGCTCTAAAGAGATCTATTAGTAGTAATTGGAAATATCCATTGATCAAACGAGGTAGAGGTAGGTTCAGTTCGTCCTTTCACTTTTATAAGTATTGTTCAAGACCGAATGATGATCTTGGTAGTAGTAACTAGTTTCATAGGCAGTTGCTTCTAACAGCCGAAGATCGATCCTTTGCGAAAACCAGCAGGTCGCTCTCAAAAAAGCGTTTTTCAATGTCAAGTGTCCTTATTGGTAGTTAAGTTCAACCAGATGACCATGTATGGGATGACTATAAAGTTATGACCAAATCCTTGAACTAATAAACAAATAGATGGGCCGTAATCACGAAAGCAAAACCCTCCATTCCTAATGAAAAAGATAGATAAACGTCTACTAATGGGCGACAACAGTGGCGGAGACTTTGAGAAGTCTCTATGACGATAGAAATTAATCAAGACATCACTATGCGCTAACAGTATCTACGAGGCGTGTTTTTAAAGTAAGTACCGTTCTGATCTAAAAAAACAAGTAAATTTTGTCCAAAAATAATTTACTCACTTGAAAGGCCATATTTTACTCTACTTTTTTACGTAATTCCCATTAGATTGAGGCATCTATCGTATCTTGACACCAGCTTTTGTATGCCATCGTCAAAGAAGCTTGCCGCCTGAGTAAACAACCACTGCTTCACATTTTTGGCACCCAGCGTGAACACAATTTCCGATAATTTAAACGAACAGACACAATTTCGTAAAGAGCACTTCTTGAGACAGCAGGAAACTGTTCAGCTAAGGACGAAATCGTGAATCGTCTGTTCTCTTTCACTTTACAGTCCACTTTTTGAATCAGGTCATCGGTAATGACTGAAGGTCTCCCACTTCGTTCCTCACCATGAATGTTTGTGCGGCCATCTTCAAAGGCCCTAACCCATTTCTGCACCATTCCATCACTCATAATGTTTTCACCACTGACTTGGTGATGAATTTCAACTGATTTGAAGCCTTGAGCACAGAGAAACCGAATTACAGCACACATTTCGCAGTCGGAGGGATTCTCAATCGGTGGAGGCATTTTAAAATCACGCAAACAGATGTAGACTCGATCGGACGGTTCAGTAATGGCGTCTGCGGCTTCCCAGCAGATGTAGCTACACGACGCGCATGCGCTAAACGGCAACCGCAGCGCTGCGGCGGCGTAATTTAAAAACGGTACTTACTTAAAAAACACGCCTCGTACTTAGAATAAACAATGAACATTCAATTTCACAGCTACTTGCTATACTAACAAAATTACTAGAACAAAAGTCCGGTTCATATTTGATTCACCCTCGTATCTTGTATCTCTCCGCTTAAAAACATTTTCGACCCGACAACGGTGCATTTATGTCAATAAATTTGCGCACTGGTTGTGTATTTTGACTATTGTTTGATACCTTTATCAGAATCAGTCAAAAATCAGTTTCACATGTGCAAAAAGTATTCAAAACAAAAACTTATTCTCGAAACTAGTTGATCATATATATTTATTCACTATATATGGCTATATTTCCTTTGTCTGATCCTCGATGAGACCTCTAAATTCCAAAGTAAGAAGTTTTATTGAATCCTATAAATGAAATATACAGGGTGGCGCATCGAAAAACGAAACAGACGCATTTACTGGCAGCTCAGTTTTTTTTGTGGAAAAACGCTCAGACCTGACGATTTTTTTTTTCGAGGGGGACACAAATTTGGCAAAAAATCACGTTAACACGTGCAGCCCCTGGGCGGGGGTGACATCAACCCTAAAATCTTAAATGGAAAGGGGGCCGAGTGATACCTTATTTTAAAGGACTTCCAATTCCCTTTATAATGATGTAAAATACATGAGCTTCAGTTCAGTATTTTGAAGATTTACTGATTTAATGCTTAAAGTAGTCTTTAATAGGTACATCAGATTAGTTTGTACTACTTTCAGAAGAAATTTGACTAAAATAATTTACTTAGTAAGTAAATGCTTTTCTTCACTACGCCCATGGTTTGTTTATCATTTTGTTGTTGAAAATAGCTATTGGAGCGTTTTTTGTGGCAAAAAAGTTATTTTTTGAAGAAAGATAAGGAAACATCTCGTACTTATTTTAAATAGGAATTTAGTACATAGTTTGTGATTAATTTGACTAAACTTTGTTGCTAAAATAACTTGTAACGCTTTATTACATAAATTAACCATGGTATATTCCGCAGCAGAAAGAGTTAAAATTCTCGAAATATTTTTCGGAAATAATCAGTGCGCTAATAGAACAGCAGAAATATTTAATGAGCAACATGAGAACAGTAACGTGCATCGAAAATATGTTCTAGAACTTGTAGCTAAATTTCGGGAAACTGGGTCAGTCGCCAATAAAAAACGCAACATTGAAAATCCCATAAGGAACGAAGCAATAGAAGTGTGGGTTTTAGGGCAAGTTTATGTAGATCCTACGTTAAGTACCCGCAAATTGGAGACTGTTGTGTGGTGTTAGTCGACGTACTGTCCAACGGATTCTAAAGGCCCATAGTTTTCATCCGTATAAAATTCACCTGGTACAAGAACTTAATGAAGACGATTTTGATCGGCGATTACAATTTTGTGAAGATATGAGTGAAAGAATTATAAACGATGAACATTTTCTATTCAACACTTGCTTTTGCGACGAATTTTTCTTTTTCTTACCTGGAAATTTGACCGGTGAAAATATGGGGTTGTCCAACACGGACGCAGGAAAGTAAACGCAGATTGAAGCAAGAAAGATTGATATTCAAATCAAGTTGGGTACTTTATTTTGAAGGTTCATTTATACCATTTATGTATGAAAAATAATATCGCTCAAATGTTCACCACGACTGGATTTACAGACGTCCACGCGATGGTCGAAATTTTCAATGACATTTTGCAACATGGTCGGTTCTATGGCATTTATCTCGGCAATGATGTTGTTTTTGAGTTCTTGGAGGGTGGCTGGTTTGTTGACATAGACTTTGCTTTTCAAATATCCCCATAAAAAGAAGTCCAAGGGAGTCAAATCGCACGATCTTGGTGTCATGGC